TGATCGATCTTTCAATTTTTAAAATAAATGAATAAATAAGTTTTTGATGAGGGTTTTCCATTGAGCCAACTGACTTTGAGTTCCTTTTTACCCTAGCTTGCTCGCTGGGTCATTATTAGCGCTTTGGCGCAAGCGTCACTTTTCTTGTGGGAAAATATGAGTGCGCGAGAGGCCTGGCAAAGGTCTAGCACTGATAGATTATTAGTGCCAGAGCTCTGGAAAACTGGATTGCTCAAATCGCGGAGCATGCCACAAGTATTCTTGGGTGTCATAGGAATCATTACAGCCACCAAACGTCTGTTGACTGCCTCCAGAACCACAGCCTCAGCTTTTGCTGCACTCTTTCCGATATCGTTCGCCTCAGGGAATCAGTAGTTCAAGTCTTTCAAAACATTTAAAGTCTGTTTGCATGGATAAGATTTCCCGCGGAACTGAACAGAAAGGAAGTTGTAACGGTGGTAGGACGAATCATGCAGAGAACAATGTATCTGAATTTGACAGGGTAAAAACGAAGCATCCTGTCCTCAGATGTTGTAGCTCAGGAATTATTTCATGAAAGTCACAACCGCATCCGTGTAAACCCGACATAAGCAAGATTTAATCATTTGCTGATCGCAAGCCATTCCGTGTTTCCACTCCGATGACAACACAACTAATGTTGGTAAACATACACTTCTGGTTGCGGAGTCATCTCCAAATTCTTCATACTGCTCGGTGTTTTACAATGAGCCAGAGCTTTTCTGTTTCAAGCCCCTATCTTTTCCCAATTTTCTTACTAATTGATGTGAAGTTTCTCAAACCATTCCGTTCGAACCAGTGAAGTACAACAAACATTTTTTTTTCCACGGGAGTAGGGTCAGGTATGGAAGTAATATTACTGGTATGGTGGCATAACTTTGGCATAATGCTATGGTCAGAATATCGAGCATAATCAGTCTGCATTATGACTAAACGCCTAAAGAGTTACTTTGATATTACAGTTCAACAAGAGAGGAATTCTATAGCCTGAGTTGTGTCAACTGTGAACCTGCTTTCTCGCTTGCACTTTAGGAATTTGGTTCAGTAAAATGGTAAGCTTTCTATTCTTGACAAGTTTTACCTGTCGGTGATAGTAATTGGGGAGGGGAGGGAGAGGGGTTCAGAGGCTCTTAAAAGCTATTAATTTGAATTATTGAGTTGAGCAAAAGGAAAAATTTTGATCCTTATTTTCACCACGATGCCATGTTTTTTGGGGTGGCACTCAAAAGCATTATGCTCAAATTTCCGAGCATGATTTTTCTGATCCTTCGTGGGAGTATCCACGGACTTTTTGACGTCATAAGGTGTTTGTAAAGGAAGTTGGAAAGGTTTATTAATCTAACTGGCCCCTGAAGAGGTCTGAACTTCAGTGTGCGCTCATATCGCGGTCAAAAACACGCTCAGTTATATTTCTTGTAATCGGAAGTAAGATGTAGCTCATAATTTGCGCGAAGAAACATGTCTTTGTTTTTGGTGTCTTGTCTTGCAACTGTACAGCCTCTCCGATACAAGCCAGTTTGGGTGCAGACGGCATCGTTACTGAGTATGTTATTACCGGGAGAAGAAGGAACGTACGATAGCATCGTATTCAATATTATTAACAAAACTGGCTACAGATGCCCCTTAGATGTCTGTCAGAACACCTCTGCTTAGGTGACCAATATTGCAACAAGTAGCTGTTCATGTAAGACCGGCACTCCTACCTTCTTAGCTTCCCGCAAACAGGAAGTTGTACTGATACAGCAAGTATAGAGAAATCTCTGTTTGGAAGGAAGTAAACATTATTTAATAGTAAATGAGTGAGGAGAGATTATCAAAGTGCGTTCAGTTCTTGTCCTCTCACTCTTCAGAGTTTTTTCTAAAATATCAATGTATATTTCCAGGCTGGAATTTGTTATAAACTATTTCGGTTTGTTGCACATTTTCCTGAAAGGATCTCTAGTAACCCTGCTATTGAATACGGGGCTCGATTTTTTTCGGTATCTGCAACCGGCTGACGTTCCCGTCCTCTTGCTAAATTACACCAATGATTGTGGGAGGTAACATAGTTAGGTCCCTTACAAGAATACCACCTCTAAGAATTATCTCTACCAATCATTATTTGTTACTCCCAATTGCATAGTAATTAAATATCTCTCAAGTTACGGAGTCCTAATCATACTGAATTAATTTGTCACCTTTGGGCTTTTGTGGATTGCTCAGAAGCACTTGGTTTAGAGAGTACCAAGAAAATTAATGATTCCCAGCTAAGTTCCATTGACAGTTTTCCAGGCTTTGGTCCATCGGAAGGAAAACTGAATAATTATAAGGCTTGGTGCTCTTATTGTATCAACATGTTTTTTGAGATTGACCTACTTGAGGTCAGGAATATTGTCTCAGCCCTTACAGCTCAAGAATACCAAAGATCATTGACTAATTATATTAAAACATTTAAGATGAAATACAGTTGTTATGGTGTAACATGGTTTGATTACAAAGATTAAAATGGTTTAAACAAAAGGAACTGAAGTTTTAACTAAGTATCTTACATGTGAATATTATTTCTTCCAGGGGCATTATACTCAACGAGATGATCAATTCCTTTCTTTGGAAGTTGAATTGAATTGTTAATGGGCCATTTAAAATATTTAATGAATTTGTATATAAATGGGAGTTGAGTTCAACTATTTTCATTTGAAATAATTTGACTCTTCCTATAACTCACATATATTTACTTAATAGACTATTTTTTCATTGCGAGGATATATCAAATCATGTTCATTTTTTATTTTATATTTCTTCAGTGTTTCATTTAATGTCCACCTTCAGAGGTTTACTGGAAATAGTGAAAAAGACACCATAAAATATGACTACTTCCAAGGAACTTTTGAAACAAGATTCTTACGAATATATCCCGAAGAGTATAACACACGTGAGTACAGATGTCTAGAGTTGATTGAAGTGAATGGGTGTAGTGACAATACCGGTGAGTTAATTTAACAGCCGCCTGCTTTAAGTACTACTGTGCAAGTCAAGGAATATCAGTAAAAGTAGTTACGAGGTTTAAATTGGTTACGCATCAGTTGTTGGCTGTATACGCAATTCTAACAATTAACATGGTTTCTTTACGTACAGGAGAAGTTTCGGACTCTTTACTATTGGAATTTTTCACCAACAGGCAAATGGAGAAACCCATTCATAATTTTAAACCTTCTCATGCATTCTCATCGCTATAGAAACCTTGCGTTTAGTAATAGATGCGCTGACAAGAGAATATAACGGAGAAAAAGGTTCGTAAATCAGTTTTGAATTCACGTACTTATCATATAACCTGTCCGGTCCCGCTTGTGCAATCTCATAGAAAACCATAGTGAAAGCTGACGTGTGTAAAGCCGGACGGGTTGACGTGATCCGGTTCGGAAAAAGCTTTCCGGCTCTGGTACATTTGTACGGCTTTGTTGTAAAAGAATTAAGAAAGGAAAGTGACATTGTTCGCTTTTGTTGCAAAAATGAGTGATAGTGGTAAATAAGTCACGTTTTTCGATGAATTGTGAGTTTCTTGTTCTGGTGTTTTGAAAAAATATAAAGGAAAAGTTTAAAATTTTTTTTTGGTGGTTTTCCCGCACGCGCGAGTCTATTTCGTCTTATTTTAGTTGAAACAACCTTTTTTAAGTTTTAAAAACTTAGTCAGTGGTCATATGATACAATGCTTATTGATTGAGTAGGGTCGGGCCAGACGGGAAAACATCTGGCCGCACCGGAGTGACCCCTCCCACTAAGTCAATAAGTACATAATATTTCGCTTATAATGTAAACTTCTGTTATGGTCCTCTCTTCCCCTGCGCTCTGTGCCCCTCCTACCTCCACCTCTCATGGTCTATGGGCCCTTACGCCCATTTTTCTTTCGGTAGTCTTCGAGCAAGCCCTCGTTACAAGCGAGACAGATCCCTGATTGGTCGGCTTGCTTTGCTGAAGGCCTCGAGCTCAAATATTCTCGCGGCTAATTAAATGCTCTTGCCGCTGGCTATGCTCTTTCTTTCCCTCGGCTCGGTATTATCGGAAATGGACTCGGAAACTAATAAACTTAAAGTTCCCTTGGAACTAAACGGTTTTTAAGGTTGAATCTCTCAATATTATTTTTCAAAACTATTTTTTTTTTAAATACCTATTAACTTCGGAACAATTTCCATGTTGTTCAAGTTTGTTAAAAACTCCATTTTCATTACAACTTGCTTAGATAGATAACGAGCCTCGTAGTTTAAGTGCTAAAAAATGTGTCGGGGGAGGGGGGGTGTACCCTTATTAGCTCATCACGATCGATTATTCAACCGGCCCTCTCCTTCATTTTGACCGTCGCTCACCCCCTTAGTGCGAACAATGATTTCTCTCTCCCCAGCCTTCCGCTGCTGAATAGCAGATCCATATTGGTATTCTTATAATTAGTGTCGACAAAGCGTTCCTTAGAAAATATGCGATAGTTTTAGGGAAGGTTTTTGCCGATAACTTGCAATTAGGACGAGATTATGAAAACTGCAATAGCCGGAGACCAACACTTTTTTCTCTTCCCTCTTTTTTTAATTTTTCATATTATTCTAGTATCGATGAACTACTAAGGTTTTCTATTTTTTTTCTTACTTTAGTTTGTACTATATCCTTTGTACTTGGGTGTGTGACCAGCTGTACTGTAAAAGATAATCATCATATAGGGGGACCAGGACGTTACATTGTGACACAGTCCCACTCGCAGGGGTGCTGCCTTCCCAGAAGGCCAAGCAATCACACACCGTCCAGTTCCGGGAAGCCTGCTTGTCCTCATTGCGTATGTCTGTCGTGAATCCGGAAATAACTTCATGCTCTGTTTATTAAGTGCTTAGTTGGCGTGAAGAAGGGGTCGGCGAACGAGTAACTTGTTTGTGAACAGTTGAAATACTGGATGATGTGATTCACACCAAGTTGTTGATCACTTGTCGCCGCGGAACATTCAATTAATTTGCTGCACGAAAATGAAAAGAGGACAAGAAAGAGCTGTGCTGAAGCTGTTTTTGTTGACAATAATCCTCCAGCTGTCAAGTTTCGAGGTCGTCAATCAAACAGATGTTAAGGAATTTATCATAGAGAGAAGAGGTGGTGGTAAATACGATTTGTTCATGTTGAATTATAAGAATGGATCTTACTGAATTGAGGATGCTAACAAGGTCAATGACTGGTGCAACACTCTGAAAGCAAGCTTCGATAAGACGGTGACCACAAATGGCAAGTCTTGCGGTTGCTCTTGCTCTTACGGGTTTCCGACATTCCTGCCTTCAAATCAAAGTTGTATCAATGGAAACCAAGCTCAAAGATTAGGAGGTAAGAACGTGAACCATTATTTGATATCTTTCAAAAGTTGAACTGTCAACTTGAAATCCGGTAGAAATGTGAAATAAAGATTAAATGAAAATACACGGAACAATCCACGATATCTTTAAAAAAAACATTTGCTATAATCTTGAAGGGGGCAGTTATATAATTTACTTTAAGGGGATACCAAAAAATAGAGATTTGATGTGTGCTCAAAACCTGATTAATCTTTACCTTTTAACTCCCATGAGTGACCAAGACAGAATTTCTCCTCACAATATTAATACAATATCAAGCAGACAAGTGATAAGAATAAAGAAAAATATTAACTAGGGGATCATTAGTTGATCTAATACCAAATTCCCCAAACTAACATTACAAGAACTATATGGAAGACAGTAAGGAGAATAATCCTAATGAGATCTTGGGAGTTAAAAGGTTTATCAAGTCAGCCACATATAACCACACCTTTATGTTGCTGTGATGGTGAAATCTCAGGTAAAACTACAGAATACAGGGCCGCTTATCTACATCTCATTTAATCACTGTACATCCTTTTATGTTCTGCCAACTAGGTGAACATCAGTGACCCTGTATTCTGTAGTTACTACAAATAAGTATTAGTATTCAATCAGGTTTGGATCAACTCAGCCAACAGCTGGTGATTCTCTATTGTACTTATTAAGATCCTTACCCCTTGTGTGCTTCCTTCCTCATTAAGCTTATCATTATTAGAGGGGCATTAATCAATCATCAATATCCAACAGCCATGGGTGAAGCCATGGTTGTGACTGAGGAGAAGAGACTCAAACCAGCTCTAATACATAAGTGTACCAATTTTGTTGGCAAAGTGAGTGCATGTTACTGATTGACAGTTGATCCTGCTTTTTTATCTTTTTAGGATGTTCAGACTATATACGTTTTAATCGTTGGTCACCAAACAATCTGTTGTCTAAAGTGGTAAATCTTTCAGTGGCAAACTCAGAGAAATTTGATTCCTCATCTAGAGATAACTGCTCTGTGATCAGTGGGCACTTCTTTGATTACAATGGCTTCCACAGTGAATGGAAAAGTATACATGACCAGATATTTGGTTTTCACCAATTGAAGCTTCAGGTACAGCACTGATTTTTCAGTCTTATATTTATTCCTTTTTGTGATATCTATACTGTGATCAGGCACTTTCCTGAATTGTCCATTTAGGGTTTAGCTGTCAGAATGGAACAGTCAGTATTCCCTGAAGAGATGATTACCTGCAAGAGAAGCCAGGGGAACAGAAAACAGTTTGGTCAATAGTCCATGAAAAGAAATATACAGATTAAAATAACTTGAAATCAGATAAAATCATTTTAAACTATGACGTACAAATTCCTTTTATGCTCTGTTTTACCATTTCCTAACAGTGGAAAGCAGACAAGAATGGCACACTCTCTGGCAGGATCATCCGTCTTAATGTTACTTGCTATAATACCAGAAGTTCACATCCCAGGTCACCATTCACACGTTGCATGCTTTTCAAGGCATTAGGGACTGTGACATGTGAGTTGCTTTAAAAGTAAAGCCAATGATTTAAAGAATATTTGTATTCAGAACTTAGGGGTGATATCATGGTTTTGATTATTTTAGGTAATGGATTATATAAGGATTAACATATAATTGTCTCAATTAAGTGTTGCCATATTTTTATGTTGTAGCTCAGGAAATTTTGACTGCTTTACAGCAGTGCACAGGTCAAATGAGCTCAACAGGGTAATATAGTATTATCAACTGAGTTGATAATGTAAATTGGCCACTGTAAAGAGTTTAAAAGCTGACATTTCAAGTGTTAGCCCTTCGTCAGAGCAAATGAGCATCAAATGAGCTCAGGCAGCTTTATGTAACAAGTTGTTTGGGAGTTATGGTTGCGTTTTGGGTACATTACAGTATGGAATTAGATAAAGATTGTTTATTATGACCCTTATTGGTACATCTGTAATGTTAAAAGTGTCATTCATACTGGACTTCATAAAGTAAACATTAAGAGAACCAGTAGGGATGAAATGATTTCTTAAGGATGGATTATTTTGTAAAAACAAACAGCCACAACAGCCAATCATAAATTAAAGCAGACAAATGAGGGTTCATATCTACTAGTACACATGTAGGAATGAGTAGAAGACTAAACATGCTGTACAGAGCAATTTAGAGTAATATTATTCAACCACTTCCCTTTTAACAAAGACTATCAATATTACCGGCATTTAAATTTCATTATCTATAATTAATAGAATCCAAAATCAATGTAAACAGGGATGGTCAAACTGTCAAATGTTCCCTTTGCCTTTCTCAGATTATGCCCCATCAAAGACAAGTTCAGTACATACTGTTCCAACTGCTTCGAGTTCTCACACTCCATCATCATCATATTTGTCTTCACCATCTCTTCAATTACCACAATCAACACAAACATCCTCATTGTCACCAATGCCACAATCATCATCATTGTCACCAATGCCACAATCATCATCGTCACCATCACCTTCTCCTTCATTGGGTGCTACCACACAAAGTACCGCAACTCACACAGGCAAATTTTCATCATTTGTATCAACACACATTGAAACCAGGTCACTTCAAACAATGCTGGCCTTACATTCATCTGGACCAATTCTGCTGTCAACATCAACAGCTGAACTGGAAAGCTCCTTGCCAGTCAATTCAGGAGAAATTTCTAATCAAGTAGTAAATACTGGGATTCCAAAATCTTCGGTTAGCACAGGGGAACCAAATTATAGTGAACCATCAGAGGTGAGTTTTCTGTGTTAGGAACAGTTGATAGTTCTGTTAGTATTAAATGTGAAGAGGGTACACTGAAATTATGAAACCATGATTATAATGGAGCCTAGAAGTTAGTAATTAACCCTTTGACTCCCATGAGTGACCAGGACAGAATTTCTTGTCACAATATCAAAACGATATCAAGCAGACAAGTGATGAGAGTAAAGAAAAATATTATTGGTTGATCTAATACCAAACTCTCCAAACTAACATCACAAGAACTACATGGCAGACAGTACGGAGAATTACTAATGAGATCTTGGGACTTAAACGGTTTTAAGTAAATAAAATTATACAGTTGTGTCATTTAGCGAGTACATATGGGATAAAAAACTGTACTTAAGTGCTAATGACACGAATTTTTTGCGTAAATATTCAGCTTATCATATTTACAAACCAATTCCGCAAAAAGGAAAATTTCAAAAAAGTTAAAACTCGGTTTTTCGGGCCCTTAAGGTGCTGTTATTTTGTCTATTAAGTGTCCCGTAGACTGGTAACGAATTAGCGGGTGATGACGTAGAAAATTACGAAAACCTTCAGTTGGCACTTACAAGTCAGTGGTGGCCGAGGACTGCCACTCAAAATTTTACAATTTTTCAAAGATTTAATAAAAAATAAAAGAAAAAAATAAATCAAAACTGAAAGTAAAGTGGAACGTGACTGCAAAACAAAGGAAAAAGAACGATTGAAAGTAAAATGAAGTTGCAAGCAAATTTAAAAGCAAAAGTAATTGCATTATCAAAGTAAAAATCATTTCAAAATTTAACTGAAATCCAAGGGCAATTCACGGCGAAATAAAAAATGAAGTGAACATCAAATCAAAACAAAAGTCAAAGTGAATATCGCTGTAACCGTCTAGGTTAAGAGAATACACGGCCCCTTCGAGCTTGTATCCGCCAGAGGTTTCGTACTGTTCACGCTAAAGGATATTGGTCAGCTCTGGAAAAGGCTGGAACTTTATAACAAACGATGTATTTGTGTTTTTAAAATAAGATGGAAACTACCATTGGTAGGATTTTCATACGATAAGAAAAGCACAAATGTAGTTATGTGGAAAGACAAGGAGTATGAGTAAATCTCAAGCGCGTGGAATAAACAACAATAAGGAACTCACCATTCTTCGCTCGCGAAATGTCAGCCGAAAAGGATGTTAAGCAATCGTGTACGGCGTGGGAACAGGCCCCTTAATCAGAATTATTTTTAGCTGAATTCATTGGTTATCTTTCCCTGATTTGACTTGTGGTATGTGTTCGTAACAGCCGTCTTCGAGGCCGTTACAGAGCATATTAGGACGACAATGAAGAGTGAAATCTCCTCGATGTCGACGTGTGAAACGCGTCCAGTTTGGCCATAGTGATACAGTTAAATCCTTTGGAAAGGAGTGTATAGAAATACCCGGTATATGTGTATTATTCTCGAAGCTAACATCATTTGGCGCTCCGGCAACACAATACGTTTGTCCTTTCTTCTCGAATTTTCCCTTTTTCCACAATTAGTTGCAGTTTTCGCGGTTTTCACAGTTTTCTACGTCACAGTGTTTTGGTCGCGCGCGGAGCCGTGGGGTTTTTGACCGCGCAAGATCTGGGATCGAACATGCCACGAGCAGTAAAGTGACAACATGCAAAACAAACGTGTCGGTTCTTTAAAATCGCACGATTGTCCTTTTTTCGGCTTTTACACAATACAGCTCTATGCTATGGAATCAAGGGTTTCCAGCAACTCCACCCGTAATATTTATAGGCCTTCTACACCTGAAAAAGAGGTCAACCGAAAAGAAAACACGATGGGAAAGATTGCCAGAAGGTGACAGATTCGAAAGTTTACACATTCTCAGATATAAATCTTGGCGAAGTTCATATTTGCTGGATCGTTAAACATATTTGTGCCCTTCTTAGTGCCTGTTGATAAAAAAATTCATAGCACCAAATTTGAGATAGAGGAAGAAAACACAAAATTGCCAATAGCGAGAAAACCGCCTTTGTAACCCCTTCTTTTTTTCGGCTTTTGAAAGATCGGCTGGACAAATTTCATAAATTGAGAAAATTTTGAGAGACTTCCCCAAGGCAAATTGAAGAAAATAAAAGACAAAGCCAAATTATCACTGGCAAGTGCCTCCCTTCGTGGAGCCTTTGCCTATTAACGAAAATCATTTTGTTAATAATTACTACAGGAAACGGTAGTCCGAACCTTGCTCATCGCCTTTTGATGGCTTTTAGTGACCTTGAAAAGCGAAAACACAAAATGTTTTTAGAAAAACAATATGCTGGCACGCGCGCCAACATTGAGCAAATACGGTATGGAGCCTCCTTGATGGGGACACTTTTTGGCCGCCAAATCGTACTTTAACTACACAAAAAGATGGTCAAAGAGAAGTCACTAGGCGCTAAGATCGGTTATTTCTAATTTTAAATACATCAACCAGAAAATGCAAAAAAAAGATTGCATGTCACAGGCGGTTTAAGACCAAGGGTACAGTTATTGCACCGCTGGTTTGCTTTTTCTTGCTATCTAATTGGTATGTACTGTGGTCCATATTGTAAAAGGCCATTGTAAAGTTCTTCTAAGGACAAATTTTTATAATTATTTTTAATCTTATTTTATTTCCCTATACTCTTAGTTACCAACCACTGAGTCAAGTCTTCCTACCAGGGATGTTCCAGGAGACAAAGAGGCAAGGAAAGGGGGAAAAGACAAAGGAGTAGCAATTGGTGCAGGAGTTGGTGGTGCTGTTATTTTTGGGATTATTGTCATAGGGTTGATCATTGTATTTTGCAAGAGAAGAAGGTTACGGTAAGCTGCATAATCAAAAAGTGGTTGACTCTTACAGCAGCTATAACTGAACCGAATTGTCCATATTGTTTGAGAGAAATCACTTGAATTTTGTTTGTGTTAATGTTGAGTGGCAAACAAAATCAGACTCAGATGATCACAAAGTGAGAGCCCAATTTGTTGTTAAATATTCCTGTTGCATTGTCTAGTTGCTAGCTCTGCAAGTGAAATTTACTATAAGGGCTTAAATAAGGATAATCATGCAACACAATTATGGTTTTGATTGACTCAGAGTCAAATTTTGTCTACTTTAAACATCAAAATTTATGCACACACTTGGATAACATTACAGGATAAATGTATCAGGATGCAATGCTAGTAATCATGCTGCAGAATGTTTACAGACTCATGTCCAATTAATGTGTCACATGGAATGAGACATTCAAAGTTAGACATCTAGTGGAGAATGAGTAGAATTTAATTATACATATTAAAATAATTGTAATGTATTAAACAAACATAAAATTCCAAACCATAAGGTTAAAGTTCCCTCCTCTTCATTGGGCCTTTCCAGTGATTTTCAACTTTGTACTTTTTTTTAAATATTGCAAAACAAATTTCAGATAATGCAAAGATAAAAATGTATTTTGACTTCTATCAAAACTGAAATTTTAGTTTGCATGGGAGTAGTCCTTATGAAACATGTCCTGTAGAAGACATACATAGTGAACCAGAGACAGCTTACTCAACCCTTTAACTCTTAGATCAAATTTGTAATTCTCCTTACTGTCAACCATAAAATTCTTATAATGTTAGTTCAGAAAATTTAGTATTGGATTAACTAATTATACCCAAATTGATATTTTTCTTCTAATTATTCTCCCTTATCTGGTTGATATTGTATTGATATTGTAAGGAGAAATTCTGTCTTGGTCACCCATGGGAATTAAAGAGTTAATTATTCTCATCACTGGTTGATATTGTATTGATATTGTAAGGAGAAATTCTGTCTTGGTCATTCATGGGAGTTAAAGGGTTAAAGACAAATTTGTGATTTAGAAATGATCATTGATAGTAGAATTAGTAATGCTGAATTTTTTTTACAGGGAAAGTACAGAAAAGATAGAAGAACTACATGTAGGAGGTAAAGTTTTGTATTTAGAGTAAAATTACTGTTAGTATAAGATTTGTACACTGATACAAGTCTATTGGACCCACCCTGAAAAGTTGTAGAGAAACAAGTTGAGTATAATATATCTGTGTTTCCTAATTTTGTTTTGAGTACATCTTAAACATTAATTAGCCTAAAATTGGATGCGTCTATCTTAAGAACTGTTATAACTCAAGTTGCATGATACTGATACATTCACTTTTTTCATGATTGTTAGAGACTAGAATACCAAATTTTCCTTCACAATTTATGATTATTATATAAAAAGCCACTTTGACAATGAAATGATAGTTTCTGTGTTTATTTTGTTGAATTTTAATTATAGTTAAGAACCCAGTGTACGAGAAACCTCAAGATGACATACAAATGGAAAGACATGGAGAGAAAGCCACAACTTTTAGTGGAAAAGACAGTCAACCAACTTACATGGAACTTGTTGACAACAGAGGTGAGTTGGTCAGTAATGAGCATGGACTGGTAACGGATAATGTAAAAGGATAGGTCAACATTACAAGTAATAGTTATTTACTTATTATATATTGGGTTAGTAATAGTTACATTAGTTACATCCTTTTTTTTGGTAAATGCTCACCTGCAAAGATGTTGACACCCAGAGAGCAGTAGCATACATGAACAACCTGTCCTGTGATTTTCTTTTCTTGACGGAATTCATGCTGATCAAAGCTTCCATCATCCACTATTTGGAAATAATTGGGGTCATTATGCTCATTTAGTTGTTGAGTATTTTATTTGTTAATGGTTACTGCTGTGTTGGTGCCAACATTTTGGCAATCAAGTGTACATGCAGGTCATGGTGAATCTAGTTTCATGGTTCTTGTTAACCCTTAAACTCTGAAGATCTCATTAGTAATTCTTTGGATCAATATCAGTATCTGGGCAACTGCCCACCTACCCCTCCCCTAACCCAACATTAACCCTAACTTGTTATCAATTGACTGTTGTTGAGTTAGGGGAGGGGTAGGTTAGGCATATTGATCCAATTCTTCTTACTGTGTGCCAAATGATTCTCATTATGTTAGTTTGGAGAATTTGGTATCAGATCCATTAGTAATCCCATAATTGATATTTTTTGTCATTCTCATCACTTGCCTGCATGATATGTATATTATGGGAATCAAAGGGTTAAGAAATATAGTTGCAAGAGAGGAATGTAAGGTGATAGGAGATTAAAGCAGAAAACAGCAGGGCTTGTGGGTAAGATGAAGTGAATTGTATGTTCTTATTTGCTACTGAAGTAAGCAAGTTGGGGCCCATCTTGCCTACTTGACATTGCATGCTTTAATCCAGTGCAAAAAAAAAACTTGCATGGAGTGGACTCACAAAGTTGTTTTGTGGACAATGTTGATGGATTTGCAAAAAGTGGCAGAAGACAGTACAAACAAATTTATTAAATGAAAAACAAGCCTATCTCAGGTGGATTTTTTACCTTTGTGCCAAAAAAAATAAAAATTTGTTATTGATCCTTATTTATTAATCATTTATTGACCAAGCTTGTTCAGTCAAGATGCCTGGATGTAAGCCTGGTTCTCTATTTGCGGTTTTATAAACCTCAACTTCATCCTAGTCCATTAAAATGCAATAAAAGTACTCAGGCTGATATAAGCTATCTTGACCTCTCACTCGTCAATAACCCTGATATACCATTATAACAACAGAATTCTCTGATCTCCCTTGAAACATCCTGGAATCTATTCAGAACAATTCTATTAGCTTTTTATATTGATATTTTTTTCCAATTTTTACATTAGGACATGAAAGTTATGGAGCTGTGTACAGTACTGCCGATGAAAATTATGACAATTCATCTGTTTATCAAAGTCTGGACAAGAATACACCTGCAGCACCACCAGTTTACCAGAGTTTACAGAACAACCAGCCTTCCACTAAGAAACCTATGCCTAAACAGAAAATAAGCAATGCAGAAAAACCTGGAAAACCCAGTGTACCCTCAGACCCTGTGTACAATGTCCTTGAGGAGTCTCACACCAAACAAGAAAATACATCAGAGGCAATATATAATGTACTGGAAGGGCCAGATCCTGGACATTTCAGAGGATGCTCTCAGGGATCTCCCTGTTTTCTTGAAGTTTAGTTGCATACGATTAGCAGATGTGATTAGCAGATGTCCATGCAGTGTACCCTCAGACCCTGTGTACAATGTCCTTGAGGAGTCTCACACCAAACAAGAAAATACATCAGAGGCAATATATAATGTACTGGAAGGGCCAGATCCTGGACATGATACTTCAGGGAACATTCAGGACCCTGTTTACAATGTGCTGGATGGGCCTGATGCAGGACAGACATATGAGGCCCCAGATGTTGGTGTTCAACAGGATCCACTGTATAATGTGCTTGAGGTGCCTGAATCCAAACAAGAACATCAGGAGCCGCTTTATAATGTGCTTGAAAGTGCAGATACTGAAAATGCCCCTTCCAGACAGCATGGCCCCTCTGATGGTGCAACCAGTGAGCCCCTGTATAATGTTCTTGATGGGGCAGATTCAAGTGGAGCAAATTCAAGTGATGCAGAATATGCTGCTCCCAACAGATCCCTGTCTGCTGATGGTCATGACAACCCAGCCTATGAGCAGAACCTTGAATTTGGTGTACCACATGCATCGGTGCACAGCCCTGGGTCAGAGAGAGAATCTTTGTATGAACCCCTGAAAGAGTCAGATAGGCAAGATGTGTATGAGCCCCTTCGCAAAAAAGGGAAATGAGTTGTACCAAGGACATGGACCTTGAGTTGAATACAAAGTTAACAGAAGTTGGTTGCTATTTAGGGGCCTAGGAGCTCTCCATGGAAATTAAAGTCAATATTGACTCTCAATTGTCATTATTTTAGCCATTAAATCAACTGAGGCAATTGGAGTAGGAATAAAACTCAATTCTCTACACTAACTTGTAATTAAAATGGGCATCTCTTTCTGACAGGGTGCAATTGCATGACATGTAGAGTCATGGGGCAAGTTACAAGTGAAATATTTTATAAAGTATTTAAAAATTTGTATTTTTGTAACAAAGGATGTAGCCATTTGCTGCTGAGCAGAATTCAAGAACACTATTTTTGTACTGAAACTTTTTGAATGACTACAATTCTGTGGTTTATAAAGCGAAAAATAATTTTGCTCTTAATAATTGTTTTTAATACTTATCTATGGTTATCACCCAAACCAGAATAATTTTGCACTGTGAATAATAATTTTGTTTAACTCTTGTTACGAGTAACGGTTAAAATTCGTTAATTTTTACGCCCAACGACCAAATCTTTTGCCCTTTTACTGCTAACGGTTAACCCCACTGAGACCCTCGCATAGGGTAGAACCTCTATACAGTGTCCTCTATACAGTGTCCTCCATAATGGCCCTGATACAAATGGTAGACCCTTTGAAAACGATGAATACCTATAAAATGTGCTTGAGAGGCCTGGCTCTAATAGGAACCACTTTAAAATGTCCTAGATGATGGCCCTGATGCTGAACGTGGGCCCTTTAACCCCATTGAGACCTTGTATAGTGTAGAGTATAGAATTATTTAAACTAACTATCACATACTTTTGTTACTTCACCTTTACTTCTGGCAGTCTACATGCCAGCCTATGTTATCTTCTCGCAGTGTGTAGTAAATACCTCTTACGAACCGAGTTCGAGGTCCGTACTGGGAGTTACGGACCACGTTTTTTTATCACGAGCGGCCTATCGATCCCAGCGGAAAAAACGAGGCTTCGTAGCTTACAGTAGGGACCGAGAAAACGAGGTAAGCAATATTTTTAAAATTATAACTCTAGGTTCAAATAGAGGGGGGAGATTTCAATTCCAACAAATGTTCGAATTTTGTGGGCCACACAGTGATAAATATTAAAACTCGGTTGCAGTGACTGATGTGGCCTTCCACTCAACGCATTAGAAAGGACACCAGAGCAAGCTCTAAATTGTTCTCTCGAAGGGTGGCCGATGTAATTTTTGAGGCTTACTTGACTGCGATGACCGGAGATCGCAATGATGAGCTAGCCGCGTTGTACCTCAGCATGATCGAGGTCGCTTTGACATCGTCATGATTAGTATGAATTTTTAACAGTTATGCCAGTTTAGCTATATTTTTCATCATCAACAATATATACTACGCGAGTGTCAGCTATGTTTGATTTTTATTACCGTGCGTAAGCTTGCAATCTAACTTAGTGTGAAAACCTTCAGAACTCGGACTGTACATTTCGTTTTCTCATTGAGGATTTTCGTCTCTGTTCAAGTTGTAATAACGTCAATTACGGCGCCAGGCATGTTTACAAAACTTTGGTTCTTCTGTTACTATTTGCCGACTCGTCTGTTCCGAAATTTCACTTTCAGTTACGGAAAAAAAAACTCGAGAAAAGTCCCGGAAAAGGTCGGACATAGTTAACAGTTGGTTCATGCTTTAGCGTGCACTATCGAGTTATGGAGCACGTGGGAAGTTTGGAGAGCACGAAAGAAGCGTAAGAGTTGCCCGAGGCATATCCAGTTTCTTGGGTGCTCTCCAAACTTTCCACGTGCTCCATAGCTCGATAGTGCACAGCTAAAAGCATGAACCAATTGTTTTATAACATAGCCGGTGGAATTGTGCATCAAATCCGACGCGAAAAACGGACAACAATATCAGAAGTGATTGTTCGCGGTAAGCGAAATATTAAGCAAAATAGGAATTAGTTTTATTTCAAATTTTCTGTTGAAAGTTCGAGTTTTATTTTACAGCAGTTTAACAGTTTAAAGTTTGCTCCATTATTGTCGCGAAATATATTATTTTTCCCCGCGCTAACAATGGCCGCTCGCGCGGAAAAAAAAAATTCCTGGCGAAGCGATTTGCTCACGCTATTAGCGTGCACTATCGAGATTTTGAGCACGCTTACGTATACTAAATTTGATAGTGCGCGGCTCTGCTAGCTATGTTAGAATACATGTGATAGATGTTTCGACTGAAACTTCTGTCATCTTCAGTTAATTAATGTACGAAGCGTTGGAAGTTGAATTATATAGTAAGTAGAACAATGCTAATTAAGATGAATAGTGACAACAAGAAAAGAGGTAAAGCATAAAAGGATAATTTTAGATTTACATGATGTAATTGTCGATTTGAGGATGGTTGTTCTCTTTGAATATGAATTGCCTCTTTTATCTTGAGTTGAAAACTGGTAGAGGCGTGATCTAAAACATGGAAGTTATCGGCTGAGCACAAAGCGCGACAATGTGCAGAATCTTGCGGATGCTTGAAAATGTGAGTCCCTGTCACCATAGTTAGTAGAGGAGACTAACTATGCTGTCACTAAGTGCTCTCTAAAAAGTGTGGAAAAACGTCGGCATGTTTCACCGACGTAACAGGCATTACAGTCAGCACATACAAACTTATAAACCAGAACCCGTCAGGGACTGGGTCTTTCATACCGATCTTGAAGGAAGAGAAAACCAGCTTAATATCTAAGTCATTGCAATAGCGCTTAATAAAATGGCGAATCTTTTTTGAGTGATAGCAGAAAAATGGCCTATGTAGGGTAGCTTAAAGTAGAACGTAGGTGAAATGGTGGGAAGGGAACCTCAGAGATGATGATTGCTTTGGGTCCCAGTGATGTAACGGTTTATAATCTTCTCGATTAAATGGGCAGGGAAAAGATTCTTTTTTAGAATATCTGTAAGCTTGTTAATGTCCTCGTGAAACCCTAACGAGGTGTTATTAATCTTGTAGGCCCTATCAACGAGAGTCTTAATGAGACCCACTTTGTAAGAGTATGAGGTGAAGCTGAAATAATTAGTTAGTAACCCAGTGAAAGTTTTCTTGCGGTAAACACTGGTTAGAGAGGAACTGGGGTCATTGTTGTCAGTCAGGACATCTAAAAAGGGTAATTTGTGATTAACCTGCTTTTCCATAGTGAACCTGATGTTGGGGTGCCTAGAGTTGATATAGTCGAAAAATATAGTGGCATCGTGCTCTGAGTGAAATAAACAAAAAGTTTCATCAACATACCGGCAATAATGTATATGATTTAATAATAGTATATGATATCATGAAAAATCAATGCTTAGGTCTGAGTTATCTCTGAAAGAAGTCAAGTCAGTAGAGAACTGTGGGGAGGGTAAGAACGTAAAAATACTTGTGGGGGGAGGGGGAAGGGTTAAGAATCCCTTTCGTTGCGTATGTTCGTTTGATTTTTCAAACTGCCATCCTGCCATCAGTGAACTCTTCTACAAAAAAAAATTCATAAAAACGATTATTAAAACCAAATGAAATCATTAGTGACATCCGGTGTTGGCCCGGGAAAGCTCTGGACCTTGCTATTTTTGCCGATCTTTTTAGTTCTTCGGCTTTCTTGTCAATTTTAACAGACAAACATTCGTTTTGAAAATATGACATAGACTACCCTTCACAAATGAGCAGTGTATTACTAAGAAAATGGTCACCTTCGCAGCCGTTGTTTGGCCTCGTCTCAATGGGAGAGAGACCGTTGCGTGACGGGACCTGACAAAGGCTGCGACTAGTAACGGAAGGGCAAACAAATAAACTTGACACCGAATATTCGGACGTCATGACGGGACAAGTGACTAGACTGAACGTCGTTTTCTGTGATGCGAGAGAGTGGTTAGCGGAAGTAATTCAGAAATTGTCTTTCATTTTCTTGGGAGAGATCAGCAATTGTCAGCAAACGTCGATGTATAGTCAGGATCCCGTATGGAAACAAGTATGCAGTGATTTCGTTCAAAGTGGGATCTGGTTGATGGCAGATTGATTGCTTGTCCTTGCGCTGCCCGCTTACCCCAATTGACTTCAACACATGCGGCAAAAAATTATTTACAGCCTGATGAAACCAAAGTATTTGCTTTTCCTGTTCCTTCTGGGTTTCAGCAGACTTAGTTCCGCAGTGTCTTCTATTGATGAGTCAGACGTGGCGAGTTATGGAGTGGAAAGGAGGTCCAGTGCCACTGACTTGTTTTTTGTATACACGAAAAATGCCAGTCAGTGTAAATCAAACGGCTGGTGCCAGAAGTTTGGAACTGCATATCCAGCAGGGGGTGCAAATTCTTGCGGTTGTAGCTGTGATTTTAGTTTTCCATCTTTCTTCCCGTCGTCGAGAAAGTGCCTAAAAGGAAATCAACTTCCAGCAAACTTTGGAGGTGATTACAACATCAATGCGATGGTGAAAGTATTTTCACACATATCATAATAGTATCAAGCATTTTGTTTTCGGGTCTTTTTGTAGGAAGGGGTTGGTAGGGGAGGGTGTGGAAAGGGAAGTTAAGGTTCAAGTAATTGTGAAGAACAGCATCCTGAAAAAACACGGGAGTGTGACATTCTTCATCGAAATCCCATTGAAATCATTGGCCTAATATGCTACCAGTATTGCATTGTAACTTAGTACAGTCATACAAATCTTCTGCTTCATTTCTTGATCATGTCCCCTTTTCTTCAGTGTATTCATTTCAAAGGTTTCTGCCAACCTTCAAAGATAACTGTAAACATTGTGCATTTCTATTTTATTCATATTTATATTATGGTAATCAAAGTATTAAAATATAGACAAGATATGAAACTTCTCATGCCACTGTGAAACCACTGGAAGGAGTGTTTGGATTGTGTGACGTAGGTTTGGTGGGATGTGGGATGAGGCTTAAAATTTAGGTGGGATGCAAAATATGAGATTCTTTTAAAGGCGAGACCGGGACATGCTCCATTGCAAGGGTGGGATAGGGAATAGATGCATTGAACAAGTCTTTGCTTTTCTGTGTAATTAGAGTACATTATCTATTTTGATAAGGTGATAAGTTGTCCATCAGTTGGCAGTGAACTAGAGAAACTTGGGTTTAACCCAGTGGGATGGGGATGGAAATGTATATTGTAGCAGAATGGTGGGAGGGAATGGGATGGAAAGAAAAATAGTGACGGGATTTGGGATTGGAAAAGTCTATTTTGGATCCTCTTTTTGATGAAGTACCATGTTGTGCATGTTTGTATATATACTCAATGTACTGTTGCATAGGGTAAATCTGACTTTGATTGATTTCTTTTAACAGGTTGTCCAAATGGCACATACCAAAATCTGTTTGATAGTGTAAATGATCCTATCTTTAAGCACCCTGTTGACCTTACCAATGAAATGACACGGCCAACATCAGCTTGGGGAAATCAGCTCAACTGTAGCCTCTATGGATATTTTTTTGATTTCAGTGGTTTTAAGGCTAGTTGGAAACGTGTGTCTCATGGAATCTTTAAGCTTAAAAAAGAGAAAAGAAAGAAAAATGGAGGTGTATTTGTAATAGAGGTGAGACTATTACTTATCCAGTTTACAAATTAATATTTAAAAGTTCTACCATGAAACTTTTTCGCTGAGATCATGGCTTACCTTCGATTTTACTGAAGTTCACTTTCCACCTATGTATATGCATGGGTGTAAGAACTCAGAGTGAAAGCATCATCAAAAGCAAACTGCCTGAAGCACTGGAAGAGATGAGCCATAATATTGTAATTGGTTTTGGTTTTGTATTTGATTGAGATTTCGGGTGTGAGATTTCTTGACTAATTCCATTGCACAAAAATAGCTGCAAAAAACAGTAGGAATGACATTAACCCTTTAACTCCCAGATCAAATTTGTTATTCTCCTTACTGTCAACCATACAATTCTTATGATGTCAGTTCAGAGAATTTAGTATAAGAGTGACTAATTATCCCTAAATTGATATTTTTCTTTATTCCCATAACTTATCTGGTTGATATTGTATTGATATTGTGAGGAGAAATTTTGTCTTGGTCACTCATGGGAATTAGAGGGTTAAACTGTGCCTTCATTTCACCACTGTGAACACCTAAACATACAGACAGGTTGCTTTTAGTGTGTATGAGATTTTGCAGCGATATCATTCATATCATTATAGAATTGTCTAAGATATGAAAAATCACACCCAGTTCTTCTGTGGTCCTGCTATTTGCAATATTGCAGATATAGAATTAAAAAGCCCTTCTCTCTGATTTTTCAAACTAGTAATGAAAAAAAAAGTTTAACAAGTATTCATTAAATTGGTTTTTTTATTTTCTTTATTTAGATTAAGCAGTCTTAATTAACAAATTATAATTTTTTGTTAGAGTATATTTTTTATTATGATGTTATAATGTTGAAAATTAAAAGGAATTATATAACTACTTTGATTTTCTTTAATTCTTTTTTTTGCTATTGATTAATACTATAATCTATTTACTTAATCTTTATTTTAATTATTCATTAATTATACTAACTAATTATACTAATTATAATTCTGTGTCATATTTTATAAATACCAGTAGCTATATACTGAAGAAAAAAAAGTAAATGAAAAAAATTGCTGACAATATATATGTGCTTGTTACAAGTTAACAGACAGTCTAATTTAATCAATAGCAATTAGCAGTTGTCATACATATTTAGATGTTCTCTTTTAGATGAAAGACAAGTTTAGCAAATTGTCTGGGAGAGTCATCAAACTTAATCTCATGTGCACAAATAAAACACAAAAAGGTCAGCCAGTATTACAAGCTTGTTATCTTTTCAAGGCAGTGGGACATGTAACATGTAAGTAAAATCTCATTATGATCATTAAGTTAAACTTTTTGCAGAATTCCCATAAAACTATCAATGGAGTTCTTTTTTTATGGAGGGACTGTATGACTGCTGCCAAGAAAAACTCAGTGATTAACCTTTATGTTTGTGGAAGCTGGTTCACACAATGATAAGTCAACACATACTAATGAAATCTACATGGGCATGAAAACCAGTAAATTCAAGGCTTTAAGGCCTGTATGACCAGGTGTTTTGGGTATTGACTGTTATATTTGAGTCTTTTTGACCCATGTATGTATTATTTTATCATAGCAATACAGAGTAATATACTAATATACATTAACTTTTGGTCAACAACTTTACCAGGTAACTTTTAATAGTATGTGTTGGAATTGTTGCAATTTTGAAGGTACAATTTGCTATTACATGGGGAAAAATTGGGTAACTTTACATAAGATTGAGATTCCCTTAGATTGGAAAAACCTTTGAAGGCTATATAATCATTAACTGTACCATATACTGTAATTTAATTATGGCAGCTAACCAGTATGGTTTTTACAGCAATGTATTATGAACAGAGCTCTCAAGTTGATTTGTTAGCAGAGATTTAGACACCACTGGTATCAGGAGGGAGGGATGGGGACATGCTCCTTAGAAAATTGTGAAAAAGTGAAGCAGCTATTCAAAAATGTGCTTTCTTTTATTCAAAGTGAGAGTTTCCACTGCAGCAAGTGTTAGTAGCAAGTTTAAAGGGAGCAAAAAATAAATCATATATTAAGTTTTACAGGAAGATTCAACTTGATAGGAGCGGCAGCATATTTCCTCAAAATCAACGGTTTAAATCAGAAATCAGTTTCTGATCTAGGGTACCCAGCTAGGGGGGCAATGTGTCCTAGTCAACAATTTTCAGAGGGACATAATCTACTCCCTGTATAGCATTTTTTCAAACTAGTGCGCGGAACTTTGGAGAATTGAGCCTTTTACATATGTCATATACCCTGGATTTTGGTTCTTGTTTTACTTTTAATTCTTCTGAAATTTAAACCAAAATATTGTTTTAAGAAGATTTCATACGAGGTGAGATTACATTTCCTTGTTTCTTTTTCTTTTGAAACACAATTTGAAGTGCACCTAAATGACCCAGAACAGGTATTTGAATGAGACATATTTGCTCAAACCATGGAAATCCTGCAATGGTGCGCTCTAGATCAGACAGTGAGAAACTTGACTCACTGCTTGATGAAGATTATCAGTTGTGATAGTGGTTGAAATAAAACAATCTACAGTTAATAGTACTGCACATGTATGCATATTAGACAAGCTGTAAAATGTTCAATAGAAAAAAAAAACAGATCTGCCATAACTGTACCTGTCCTGCATAGTGCGATTCATATCACTCAATTTGCTTTTTGCAGATTATGCCTCACCAAGGACAAGTTCTGTACATACTTTTCAGACATCTGTGGGTTATCACACATCATCATCATTTGCACATCCATCTCCACCATCACTACAATTACCACAATCAACACAAATAACTTCAATGTCATCATTGTCACATTTGGCATCTCTACCATCGCCATCTTCTTCCTTAGATGTCATGAAAAGGATTTCAACAACACGCACTGCAGATTATGCCCCAGCAAAGAAAAGTTCTGTACATACTTTTCAGACATTTGTAGGTTATCACACATCATCATCATTTGCACATCCATCTTCACTATCACCACAATCAACACAAATAACTTCAACATCATCATTATCACATTCGGCATCTCTACCATCACCATCTCCTTCCTTAGATATCATGACAAGGATTCAAACAACACACACTGGAAAATTTTCGCACATGGGAACCAGATCTCTTCAAACAAGGCCAGTATTACGTACATCCAGATCAATTCAGCCATTAACATTAAATACAGAAGTTGAAAGCCTCTTGTCAGTCAGTTCAGAGGAAGTTACTAATCAAGTAATATACACAGGAATTCATACATCATCAGTCAACACAGGAGAACCAAATTATAGTGAACCACCAGAGGTGGGTTTTCCTATTTGAGAAAAGTTGTTGTTTCCATTAGTGTAAATGTGAAGAGGGTCCAGTGATACCACTTCACCTAAAAGCTCATGGCTGTGGCAGAAATCAAATTGAATAGATACTTTGGGAGCCTAGAGATTATGATGCAGGTGCTAGAAAGTAAGCAATAAAGTGAACTTATTGGCCTTATAAGGTTGACCCACTGGATGCCACAGTACTTTCAAAATATGATTTGTGTTTCTGAAATCCAAAATGATTTACTGTATGACAAGGGATTGTAGAGTACAAATGAATGTAATGTAAGATTGCACCTTGCAAAGATCTTTAAATTACATGGTTATTTATCTGATAATTATTTAAATAATATTTAAACTTTTTTTCTTTGTCCTCTAATAGCTACCAATTACTGAGGCAAGTCTTCCTCCTGTGGATGGTCCAGGAGACAAAGAAGCAAGAAAAAGTGGAAAAGACAAAGGAGTAGCAATTGGTGGAGGAGTTGGTGGTGCTGTTGTTTTTGGGATTATTGTCATAGGGTTGATTATTGTATTTTGTAGGAGAAGAAAGTTACGGTAAGTCACTTAAACAGAAACTGAGAGAATTTTACAGCTGAAGCTAATGCCTTGTCCAAAGCAAGAGTACGTGACTAATCAAATGAATAAGATAAATTTTTAGTTATTGAAATACAGAACAAAGAGTAGTCCAGTTACTGCATCTATATAATTAAACAGGTGACCAAAAAAGTCGTGGGATTACTAAGTAGGAGTCTATGTTGTTAATTGTAAGAATGATAATAGCTGGCATTACGTTAGACAACACAAACTCCTATTATGAGAGAAGAACTGACAGACTTGTATGCACAAATGCACAAACATTGCGTAGTAACTAGTTTTATATCATGACAGATATACTGTCCTTTTACAATGTCCAGTTACAAGCATGGCATTTAAACTTTCCTATTAGTGCTTGTGATAAGCTGAATCATCAGAACTTTTCTAAATACAGTTTTGAGTGAGTTAAACTTTAAATTTGTACCCTAATTTAAACATGAATATTTATTTATTCACTCAAATAAGGTTATTACATAATTGTGTTAGGATATGTTGTATATGTTGAAGAATGTTGACAGGCTAATTGTTCTCCAGTCAATGACTGTCACATGTGGGATTCAAAATTCAATAAGAAACCTTCAGTGAAGAACATTCATTGTCGAATGCATATTAGTTGAGAATGAGTATACAAAACATACAATACAAACTTTGAAACCATGCGTAAGCCCTAAGCTTTCCCTACTTCATTTCTCTTTCATAGCAACCTTCAACTTTATATTTTCTTAATCGAAGAGAGCAATTAAAGAATGTACAGAGATCAGACTGAGATGAAAATTTACTTTGACTTTTTTCATAACAAAATTGGCATTTTGTTATGTAATAGAGAAGTCATTGTGAAATTCTCTATACTGTGAATGAAGAAGTGAACCAAATAGAGCTTACTTAAAGACTTGTGATTTAGAAATGAGCATAGTTATGAGTAGTAATCCACATTTCATTTGCAGGGAAAACATGGAAAAGAAAGAAAAATTACATGTAGAAGGTAGGGATTTGTATTTAGTAAGTAAATTGTATCAAGTAAATCTTAACATTTGGAAGGAGACCATTACCATGTTTACAACCATGTTAATTAGCTGGAAATTGCATGATCTTTCTATCTGAAGAATTAATTAGGACTCAAGTTGCATGATACTGATGCACCAACTTTTTTGTTGTTTGTTAGAGTCTCGAATACCAAATTAATGTTCTCTCACAATTTAATATAATAATTAATAAGTTTTGTCAATGAATTCGTAGTTTGTGAGTACTTTAATTAAATGTTTAATCCTAGTTAACAACCCAGTGTATGAGAAACCTCAAGATGACATTAAAATGGAAAGACCAAGAGAGAAAGCCACAGATTTCAGTGAACAAGACAGTCAACTGACATACCTGGAACCTGTTGACAACAAAGGTGAGTTGGTCAGCAATAATGTGGAATGGTAATGGATGGTGTAGGGGGATGGGTCAATATTGTAAGAAATAATAATACGTAAGGGATTAATAATAGTCACATTAATTTGTTCCATCCTGATTTTAATCCTTTGTTCTAATTGGCTATCCAAGTGGGGGAGATGAGCACTAGCCTGTTTTAGAGTGCCTTCTTGAATCCATGTTAAAAAAAATTTTGTTGAATGGACTAACAAAGTGTGTAAGTTTTGGACAGTGTTGTTTATGGTATTGCCAAAAACAAACAAAAGAACTTGGTCAATATCCTGCCATCTTGACCTCATGCATGCAGGTCAATAACGCAGATATTCCACAAACAGTGGCCTTTAAAATTAATATGAGGTTAAAAATAGCCCAGTTATACAAAATTTAGCTGAAGAATTCTCTGATCTCCAATGACTGGTTAACACCCTGGAATATATTCAGAACAATTCTCTTAACTTTTATTTTTGATATTTTTGTCCATTTCCACATTAGGATATGAAAATTATGGAGCTTTGTACAGTACTGCAGATGAAAATTATGACAATTCATCTGTTTACCAAAGTCTGGACAAGAATACACCTGCAGTGCCACAAGTCTACCAGAGTTTACAGAACAACCAGCCTTCCACCAAGAAACCAATACCTAAACAGGAACAAAGCAATGCAGAAAAACCTGGAAAACCCAGTGTACCCCCAGACCCTGTTTACAATGTCCTTGAGGAGGCTCACACCAGACAAGGAAATACATCAGAGGCAATATATAATGTACTGGAAGGGCCAGATCCTGGACATGATACTCCAGGGAACATTCAGGACCCTGTTTACAATGTGCTGGATGGGCCTGGTGTAGGACAGACATATGAGGCCCCAGATGTTGGTGTTCAACAGGATCCACTGTATAATGTGCTTGAGGTGCCTGAATCCAAACAAGAACATCAAGAACCGCTATATAATGTGCTTGAAAGTGCAGATACCGAAAATGCCCCTTCCAGACAGGATGGCTTCTGTGATGGCGCAGCCAGTGAGCCCCTGTATAATGTTCTCGATGGGGCAGATTCAAGTGGAGCAAATTCAAGTGGTGCAGAATATGCTGCTCCCAACAGAAACCTATCTGCTGATGGTCACGACAACCCAGCCTATGAGCAGACCCTTGAATTTGGTGCACCACATGCATTGGTGGACAGCCCAGGGTCTCAGAGAGAATCTTTGTATGAGCCCCTGAAAGGGTCTGATAGGCAAGATGTTTATGAGCCCCTTCACAAAAAGGGGAAATGAATAGTACCAAGGATGTGGACCTTGAGTTGAAAACAAAGTTAACAGAAGTTGGTTGCAATTTAGGGGCCTAGGAGCTCTCCATCGAAATTAAAGTCAATATTGACTCTCAATTGTCGTTATGTTAGCTATTAAATCAACAGAGGCAATGGGAGTGTAGGAATAAAACTCAACTCTATACACTAACTTGTAATTAAAATTTATATCTCTTTCTGACAGTGTGCAATTGCATGATATGTAGTGTCACAGGGCAAGTTACAAGTGAAATATTTTATAAAGTATTTTAAAATGTGTATTTTTGTAACAAAGTATGTAGTCATTTGCTGCCAAGCAGAATTCAAGAACACTATTTTTTTACTGAAACTTTTTTAATGACTACAATTCTGTAGGTTATGAAGCAAAAAATAATTTTGCTCCTAATTGTTTTAGTACTTATCAATGGTTATCACCCAAATCGAAATAATTTTGCCCTGTAAAATACAGTATTCATACCTCAGAAGAATTTATGAATAGTTTTTGTTACTGTAGGAATTTGTTTAAAAAAATAAATACCCCAAGTTAACTTGAAAAAAATGGAATTGAGATCTAGAGTTTTTCTTTTTTTACCAAATTGCAAAAAAAAAGGGAAGTTAATTCTTTAACACCTGTGAGTGACCAAGACAATCTCTCCTTACTATATCTATACAATATCATACAGGCAAGTGATGAGAATAAAGAAAAATATCAATAGGAATACTAAATGATCCCGTACCAAGTTCTCCAAACTAACATAAGGAGAATCGTTTGGCAGACAGTAAGGAGAATTTATAATGAGATCTTGGGAGTCAAAGGGTCAAGAGTCCAACATTGAAGAAACAGAATAGTGAGGGAAACAGGTGACAAAAAGAAAAGATCAGGAGCAAGAAATATGTTTCATATGATGTAATAAATGATAGAGAAATGCAAAACAATGCACGTTATTTTGTACATAATTGATCAGCACTGATGACATAACAGGGATGGGCAAGACAGAATGTGGAACTGAGACCATCCTTATCCCCTCTCCCCCCCCCCCCCCCCACTCAACCACAAGAGCATGCTAATGCATTCTGACCATTGCCAGAGCTATTGGTTTGCTTTGAAAGGTTGCACAGCATTCCCATTAAGTGACATTATGTAGGCTTATTTGCGAAGAACTAAAATAAAAACAACTCAGTTATTTTCTTTGCTTATTTTCTTTGCTTATTTTCTTTGCTTATTTTCTTTGCTTATTTTCTTTGCTTATTTTCTTTGCTTATTTTCTTTGCTTATTTTCTTTGCAGTAACCTGACATGCTGTGTTTAATCAGCAATTTTTGGGGAAATTTTATTTAATACACTCTTACAGTGCCATTATAGCTTGTAAATAATTAAGAAAGGCCTAAACAATGAGTTAAAATTATTAATACTAACAATATTGATAAACTTTTTAAGTGAACAAAGTAAAGATAATCTTCAAGAGAATTATGAATCTAAATTAAATTTGGAATTTGAACATACTAAATTGAACCAAAAATATCCTACTACTCAATATATTACACAATTTACAATATTATTTAAAATAATTATCTCTTATTATAGCCATCTCTTTTTGTATTCCACATATGATAAACCCCCAAGATGACACAATTGAAACTCCAAGCTGTAATTAACCCCCTTTAACTCCTAGAAGTGATGAACATGTAACTTCTCCCTATCACATCCATACATAATCCAGTACACTGGTAATAAGAATACTCAAACTTATCAGGTGAAAATTGTCATCTTGATTTAACACCAAATTCATGTTGCTAAGTTACAAGGAAATGTGCAGCAGCTAGAGAGGAGAATTGACAATCAGATCATGGGAGTTTAAAGGTTAATAATACATTTCCAATGTTGATCTGGCTTCTCTTCTTCCATTCTGCATCATCAATGTTGAGTCTATAATTCCCCACAACCCAAGCATATTCCCAGCTTACCCTCTTAGATAAACAAGTGCTATATTTTATTTCACCAAGACTGACTTAACCCCGCTCTGTTAATTTGTCGTAAGTTTACAAAAGATCAACCTGCTTGACTGTCCTTGATAGTCAGAAATGAGAATGTAATCATTTGTGAGGACAGTTAGGTTTGCAAGGGGCTGATGCAGCCTAGTTTCCTTTGGAGGTGCTCTCTCTCGGAGACCCTCCTGTCAGTTTGCCTCCACAGAATTTTCATTTGGCAGATGTAAGAAAACATTTTATATTTATGTTCCAATCACTGAATCTGGGAGAACTTCGATGTAATCATTCTCTTGCAACGAATCATCACCCTTATGGTCTTGCAAGGGCTCCTCTGAAGAGGCCCCTGGTGGTCTGGGTGAATTAGGTCCTTGGACGGTTGTATATATTGGTGATGAAGGACCATTGGCTTCTCTTGTTTGCACATAATCTGCTTCGTCATGCTCAGAGCCAGCATGTCTAAGTGAGTCAAGATTGTCTAAACTTGTGCGACTGGCTGTTAAAACAATGATTCCTTCTGGTTTAGCATAATCATAGGTTTTATCTTTTGGTTCATTCTGAGGTGGTTTTACACTTTGGGGTTCACTATAAACAGCTCCATCTGATCGACAGTCTGCAGATCCTGTTTCTTCCAGTGGAAGTAAGTAACCAGAATGATCTGAAATGAAGATGGGTGAGAAGAGTCAACAATGAATAAAACTTAAGTTATACCTATTACTAACTGAGCTTGCAGTCCATAATTTAAGATACAGACCAAATATTTTCCACTTGGGTTTGCAGTTTAAGAACAAAGCAGAAAAAGAAGCTACATCATGGACTGAAAAACCAAGGTGCATAAATATAATAGTCCGTTTTACAGTTGTATGCTTGGTTGCCAAGCCTTTGAACAGGAATGAGGCTAAGGGTGACCTTGTTATGATACAAACCTTGCTGTTTTTCAAATGCAAATTACTTTGTTATCATGCCAACTAGATACTGGTCTCTATGACAACAAGGTCACCTTCAGTCTCATTCCAAGTCAAAGGCTTGGCAATTAAGTACACAACTGTAAAATGGCCTATTCATTATATCTCTTAATTGAGTTGCGCTAATCTCTTCAGAGGGTTGAGTGTACAACACATAACGTACCTTCGTTAGGCTTAACCAGCTTTTGATACTCTGAGCGACATCTCTCAGGTGCAGGTTTCAAGAAGGCGTATCCCTTGCGTATTGGACTTCCTACTTTTGCATAACCTGCTTCATCAACAGCTGGTTTGGTGTCAGATGGGGGAAAGGGAATTATTGTCTCGGCCTCTTGTTTAAAGAGAGCATTGCCTAATACCATCAAAAAAATAAGTCAGAATAGATCACATCAGGCATGTTTCTGGGAGATGAACAAAATAGACATTCAAGAGAAAGTAATATTTCTTACCAACATGAAGCCTTGCTGTGCGCTTTTTTCGTTTCCTTCGACTCCTGATGAGATGAACAGTTATTTGTTATTAAATGAGGCAAATAATGGTTAGTATCTATGGCATTTATCTCATTGGTATTTAAACTACAATTATAAGTATCTTTTGGTACATGAATTTGTTAATAAAATCCCCTCACTTAGACACTAGCATATGAACCAGTGAGCCAAATGTTTTGTCCTCACCACAATTTGAGGTCATCTCTAAAGTGTCATGCACAAGGTAAAGAAATGGTAAAGTCTGTAGTGGAGCCTATTGCCACCCTCCCAACTGAGGCTTATCCCAGTTTCCAAGTGGCGCAAAGCAAAGGGATGCTAGTCCATCACAAGGTTACCCCTTGGCATTTCATAGACCAGGCTTTACTGACAATTTCCTGGTGCCTCAGTTTGATGTCATACTCAAGAACATATCATTATAACCCAACCTACAGCATCTCTGAACAGACAATTTGCAAATGTTAGCCCTTCAACTCCCACAGGTGACTGACATGTAACTTCTCCTTACAATATCCATACATTTTCTAGCAAATGGTTAATGAGAATACTCAAACTTATCAGGAAGAAGTTTTTTTCTCACACCAAACTCTCCTAACTAATTTACAAGGAATTGTGTAACAGCAAGAGGAGAGAATTAACAATCAGATCTTGGGAGTTGAAGGGTTTATTAAGCAATCACCTCTCACATTAACAAAACTAACATTTTAGCTACAATGATGAAAATTAAAAAAAAAAAAGGGGAATCACACCTTCGCTTCATTTTCCAACAAATCCATAAAGTTGCAGTAATGGACAGGGTGGCAATAACAGCACCACCTGCGACAACTGCAATGAGCCAAATAGGAAGGCCACTATGGCCACCATCATGGAATTCTTTGTCACCTTTATTAAAGACTGACTGCTCTGTAGTTGGGGAAGGAGTGCCCTTGTTTGGGGTAGTGACAGGATCTGTTATGCCTCCATGTTTCTTTGTCGTATTCCCAGTTAGGCTGGTATTAGAAGGTGTTGTCTGTATAATTACATAAAATCATATGTATCAATTTTTCAAAAGGTATGAAGACCTGGCCTGCAGGCCAGACATGATCAGAGCTTTTGTTCCATGGGTGTTAACAGCAAACTCTTTTGTATAGAATGAAAATTGGCTGTTAGAGTTTTCCTGTCATCATCAATTGGAAACTTTAACTTACAAAGAAGTGAAAAGAAATCAAGCACTGCAAACTCAAAGTGTTCCACTTTACCTAAAATTCTTAGTTTTTTCAATTGATAATTAACTTGTACATACCATCAATGTTGGTAATGATGGGTTTGATTCTTGACCTTCAAATCAACAAAATCATTATATCAAAAATAAATATTTAATTTTTGAAAAGACAATGGCAAATTGAAGAGAAAATTAATGCCAGCACTTATATAATAAATCACCATTAAGAATAACTTCTAATTTCATCACAAAAATGTACCTTAAAGTTCGTATTAATAAATAAATGAACAGCTAGAAAATAGTTTGTAAATAAAAATTTTAAATGTTTCTAATTTTATTGGTTTGCTAAGTACATATCTCCTGACCAGTCAAAGATAAATGGTCATGATGCACTAAACAATAAAACATTCCCTGAAATATTTCTAATTATTCTCAGTTTCCTTAAAACTGTGTAAGAACCATTTAGGTCTGAAAGCAGGTACATGTGGGGCCTACTCGCTGAAACTGAGATCTGGTATTGGGTTATGCTTTTGAATGGATAGAACAGAACCATTTTGGATGTTTCTCTGGTCTAAACCTAAAGGAGGCAGCTTCCCCCAAGCATGCTGAACTCCAACCAGAATGTTCCAAGAGTACCATTAAACTGGCCTGTGTCACCCTTAGACCCCTAGCAGTGACTTGTATCCAATTTCTCCCCACAATATCACCCCCAAATTCAGAGAATAAAGGAAATTATCACCAAATAAAGAAGCTCTTGATTATACAACAAATTTTCCTTGTCAGCATCTTAAGAAATGTTTAGAGAACAGTGTGGAGAATATGCATACTGACATTATCAATGTGTAAAAGGTTATGGTACACTACCACAAGGATAACAATTTTAAAGAACAGTTCTACTTACAAGGTACACTGCCCGTGAATTTGAACATAATGCACAAATTTTTCGGAAGGTTGCTGTCTTGTCCTGTGGTACATTGTAGGATGACTTTAACAATCTTTCCAAACAGCTGATTTACTGGCTGTTTTCTATTCCACTGTACATGGTGAAAAGAAAAAATAAAATAAATTTAACCAACTTGTCTGTCCATCCTCTCTTGTTAAATCACCTGATACAGTTTTATTCCATAAATTTGTTAAATTAGTTATCTGGAAGCTCTCTCTTCAAATTGCTTTAAATTAGCATGTATTTTATTGAGTCAACCAATGTGTCTGTGGAAAGTTTGGTGCCATATCAAGAAAAAAATCTCTAAAGTAAAGTATCAATGCCAACAGTGCAGAGAATCCACATTAAAATCTTGGAAGCTTAAGCAAAAGGGTCAGAGTCAAGAGTTTTTTATTTCAAGGAATGATTTCAAAGTTGAGTTAAAGATGAAGTCTGTTCTTAAACTGAGTGGCCCACCCAGCCAGAGCTCATCCCTGTTTCCTAAGCATGAAGAAACTAGGAGTATCACTACTCCCCCCTGGATGAGACACAACCCCATTGCAAGGTTACCCCCCCCTCCCCTCTAACATAATATCTGGCTTTACTGATACCCATTTGTACTCCTGGTTAAAGAGAGGCACTGTGAATAAACCCTTTAACTCCCAGGAGTGACCAAGGGAGAATTTCTCCTTACATTATCAATACAATATCAACCATATAAGTGATGAGAATAAAGAAAAATATCAATTTGGGGATAATAAGTTGATTCAATAATAAATTCTCTGAACTAAAATTTTAAGATTTGTATTGTTGACAGTAAGGAGAATTACAAATTTGATATGGGAGTTGACCTCACCAGATCTCACACACAGACCCCCCAACCTGGAGTCTGGTGCACTACCCATTGTGCCACTGGATCCTGCATTAAAATTTAACTTAAGAATTATTTAATCATTAAAAATGTAAGGATACCTGAAGGAAGTGAGCATGTTGTTTATTTTTTAGGTCTCGATGGTGAATTTTGAAAGCGGGCTGCTTTCCTGAGAACATTTTCCATGCAGCAGAGCTATTTGCTGTGACATAACTTGTTCCTCTGATATCACAGTCCTCCCTTGGAAGAGTATACAATTTTAAAGACCTTGACTTATTGAATATTCTTAGAGCATTATCAGCTCTTTCTCCACTGAAATGTAACGTACACTCTGGAAAAAGGAACAAAAGACTTGACTCAAAGAATGGTTTGAACCAGACAGCAACAGCCTAGCTTATAGTAATAACCCACAAGGATGAATTGTTGACAGGGTATGATGTTTGAATGGGGTTTCACCCTTTAACCTTTAACCCTTTAACTCCCAAGAGTGACCAAGAGAGAATTTCTTCTTACAATACCAATACAATATCAAGCAGACAAGCAATGAGAATAAAGAAAAACATAAATTAGGGGATTATAAGTTGCTCCAATACCAAATTCTCCATGCTAATATCACATGAATTTTATGGTAGACAGTAAGGAGAATTACTAATGAGATCTTGGGAGTTAAAGGGTTAACTCCTTCAAGTGACTGGCTTCTAATTTCTTCATACAATAGCACCCCTGAATTACACACTAAGGTCACAAGAAAAATTAACAGGAAATGATCACCAATAAAAGAAGCTATTGAAAACTCTCCTTGTCAGCACTTAAGAAAATGTATAGAGAACAGTATGGAGAATATGCATACTGATGTTTGAGTGTAAAGGATTAAAAGAACTTTGAATTTTTTCAAATTTGTGTGTAAAATGAGAGCATGTTCCCCTCTTTGTGACCCCAACGCCCCCCTCTCATAAAGCATTCAGCACCAACTTCGTCTAGACCATCCAACTATTACCACAAATTATCAAAAGACTTTAATTTAAAAAATGTCATTATTCTTAACATTCTCATCAAAAATATACCAATATTGTTGTGAAATGATCCAGTAATGAAAAGATCATTCATGAATATATTGGTAAAACAATAAGTTGGTCGTCCAGTCACACACAGTTTTGCACAACATAATTTCAAACTGTTCTTCCGTTTTTCACTCCCAAAGTCTAAATATCAGGTTTCCTCACTGTCTGTCATACATTTCTCATGACTTAAGCTATGAGAGTTTGGTGTTAATCAGACAGAATTCTTTAGTTATTCCATCTTTCTTCTCATCGCTATTTTGCCTGAGGATGTTTTGCTTTTGTAAGCAGAATAGATATTCCTTTTTGGTCATTTTATGGAGTGGAATGGTTAAAAAGGATGATTTAATTGAAAGTTGAGGAAAAGATCGGGTGAGGAAACCAAGCTTCATCTAAGAATTCCCCGCCACAGGATTGACCTTGCATTATGGCATTTCTTTCATTACAGTTTAAATACACGAGTGTTAAAAGACATGAAATTAAAAATCAGTGGGGTGTTAAAAACTTAAGGAGGGAAAAAAAAAAACATCAGGCAACCTGAACAAAATGTTACGACAATTGGGGAATTTCTACTGATTAGTTTCACATGGTATCCAGTGATGCTCATACCTGTAGATTGTCTCTTAATCTTACAAATATATTGAGAAAATAAAATACTATTTTATGCAGTTAAAGAGTTTGTTTAAGATTATTTGCTAAAATTTATAAATGGGGGTATTCAATTCATGACAAGATCATCCTACAGCTTAACGTACCCAGCCAAATAAAATTTCATGTAGTCAAATCCCCAAATTAAATTTTTAGACAAAAATGGAAACAAACTTCCGTCAGAGAAATTATATGACGTGGTTCAATCTTAAATTAAATTTTTAAACAAGACAGAAACACGGAACAGTAATTTTAATAAATGCACCTACCATTGCGACTTTCTTGGTTCCTTATACAAGTGTGTAAGTCTTCCCTGTAAGTACTGTGAGATCTCTTGCACTGGCAGATACAAATATTCGACGTGGAAATTAAGTTGCTGTTCATTTGCTTGCAAGGATTTTCTTCGTTATTACAAGTTCCTGTGTAATTGTAGAACTCTATTCTATCTCCGTTGCTCAATCGAAAGACTGAACATTCGCGTGTCTGGGCAGATGTTGACATAAACAAACATACGAGGACCAAAATTCGTTTAAAGGTCGTGCTGCACTGATTAAAAATTTTTCCCTTTGAATAAAAGTTTTCCCGTCCAGCTCGTTCCTTCATCATATATTAAAGCAATATTCCAATATGTTTCGGATCAACTATTATTAAACAGGAAAATATGTATTTCCCAAAATCTTTAGTCTTTGTCTCGGCGTTCTCTTTGAGTTGAGTTGAAGAAGCACATTGAGTTATTAGAAATTCCGTGATCCCTAACATCCGCGTCAGTAACTGCTGTAAAGATTCGAAAACGCCCTTCCCGCAATTGTCAATCGTTCAGGAACTTAAGCCTTGCAAGAATGTTTTATTCCGACCGGAAGCCAGTATGGTACGAATGTCGTCTGCAGACCCTCGCCCAATTTTCGCGCGCGTGTGATTCTGACCACTTCTGGTGGTTTCGTCAATAACTTTCCTGATTCCGTAAGTTTGATGTTCTTGAAAACACCATAAAAGCGAAAGAAGGACTATCCGTGTCTAGCATGAAGATATTTCTATATCTGTTGATATATCTTTGTAATCATGTCTTGTTGATAAGTTCTCTTGAAGCTCATTTGCTAGTTGATCCACTCTGTAAATATTGAGTCATTTGCTATTTTCGTCACAAAGCTTGGGGCAGATTGTCTCCTTGGTTTCAATTTAACTATAATGCATAGCCAAGAGCGCGTTCAATATGGATTGTTTGTCGTCTTTACGACGCCAAACCATAAGAAAGATTCAACAAACGGAAGCTAACTGAAGTTCTTCGTCCGCCATTTTTGGAAATGGACATTTCAAAAGAACATCACGTTAACGTAACGCAGAAATATCTTATGGGAGGGGTGGTAGAGGGCTTAGCTGTGCCTAGCAGAAATTTGAATGTTTCTGTCCTGGGTTTAACAAGTATTATGAGTCCACTCCATTTAAATTCGTTAACGGTTTTCTCTTAATGAAAGTAGAATGACGGTACGTAATTTCCGGTTAGAAAAAATTCAGGGATTGAAGGACGGGGTAAGATGAACAAATTTCTTACTTTCTGCTCTGTAGTGGGGTGGGAATAATTTTTGTCCTGGTCCGCGTCTGCTAAAATCATTAACATTTCTTTTGCATTAACTGCACGGTTGACTCAACACGCAGCTATTTGTATCAGTATTATTTACCCATTAACAGAGATTTACATAAAACCCAAATTTCCTAAGCGAGGAGAACCTTCCTATAATGTTCCTGACTGTGAATATATGAAAATTATATATGTGAACTGCGGATAAAGACGTGGATATCTTCATTACTGCGAAGATCGCTTTCATGTTCACGTTTAATGTTCCTGTCAACACTCTCTGAGGGTGGTATGAAAACTGATAAATTTAGACAAGGTACAAGAATTTACAAGTATATCTGCATGACACCAACATGTTCCTCCTCAATGTCGTGCAGCAAAAGGAAACAGTTCGTTCTACCTCGTTGTTGTTCTATATATAGCCGAGGCAGCGTTAGGATTGGTAAAGTTTCCGCACAGCCCCATACTATTGTAAAACAAATCTGTTTTCCCAACGGAAATGTATTGTTTTTGTCATTGTTTCCTCTGTTCAAGAACTGAATGCATAATGCATAATACCTTAGGATTTTGTGAACGACGCCATTTTTGCTTCCGGCGATCAATAAGCAGTCAGATAATTCATTTAAAACTGGATGGTCATGTACAACGTGGCATCAGTTTTCACTGTTCTCGTCTTTATAGGCCCACCACATCTTTTCGCATCAGGTAAGCCGGGCATGTACACCTGAATTCATTAATTTTATTTAACAAATAGAGAAGCCTTGACTGTGCTCTGTTCTGTTATAGAGCACGCAGGAAGTGGCTAGAGCACGAAAGAAGTGTAGGGAGAAACACGAGACGTAGTCGAGTGTTTCTTCCCACTTCCTTTGAGGATTTTCGTATCTGCTCACATTTTAATAACGTAAATTACGGCGCCTGGTATATTTACAAACCTTTGTTTGATTCTTCTGTTGCTACTTGCCGGCTCGCTTCAGTTCCGAAATTTCACTTTCAATTATCGGGAAAAAGCTAAAAAGAAGTCCCGGAAAAGGTCGAACATAGTACGATTGGCAGATGGCGTGACAGCTTTAGCTCAGTTCTATGCTCTATACTCTCATAGAGCACGCTCTTTCAACCAATGACAGCGCGCGTTATATCCGAACTTTATTATAAAGGATAGATAGTTTAGAAAAGATACGTTACAGTATAGTTGTTGTTATACTCCGTATTCACTCATTTAAACTCCGTCACAGTAGACTGTTACAAGCTCTTAGCCTCTGGAGACGGAAAGCGTACTTCGACATCCGTCAGAAGGAGGTCATCTCGGGTAGATTTCCGATTACGAAATCCGAGCTCGCCCGATGTTGTCTTCGTGATGAAGGCCCTATTTAGCATTATTAGACCCGCAAAACAGTGTAGAAACGAACACGTGCTTCGTTTTCGCTCATAACTTCGTATTAGCGTCAAGATATTTGCATTTTTTTTCCGTTGCTTACCTATATTACAGACTCCAAGGATAATCCGTGAAAAATTTTTGCGATGCCTCCTTTTCACAGATGGTCGATTACAACTACAACATAGTGACACCTAGAGAGCAGTAAATAGCAGTTTTTTTTTCAGTTTTGACAGATTTCGTGGAGGTGTTACTATGTTGTAGTTGTAATCGGCCATCCGTGAAAAGGAGGTATCGCAGAAATTTTGTGAAGTCTGTAATAAAGGTAAACAACGAAAAAAAAAAGCAAATATCTTACGGCTAATACGAAGTCATGAGCGAAAACGAAGCACGTGTTTCGTTTCTACTCTGTTTTGCGGGTCTAATATGCTAAATAGGGCCTTCATCACGAAGACAACATCGGGCGAGCTCGGATTTCGTAATCGGAAATCTACCCGAGATGACTTCCTTCTGACGGATGTCGGAGTACGCTTTCCTCTGGAGACGAACGAAATGGCGTACGAACGACACCGCCCCTCTCTCGTCTTTGGACTCGGCTAGTCACGCAACACGCCCTCTTCTCGAATTCTCCTCATAGAACGTTGCGTGACGTACCTTGTCAGGTAAAAAAAGAAAGAAAGAAAGAAAAGAAAGAGCGCACACCCCCAAATGCAAGTAAGAAATTGCACTGATGTAAGACCCTCTATCGGACAAACCTTTCTTCGTTTTTGTATCGAGGAGTGAGCCTTATATATTTTGGCCGATTTGAATTGATAACATTTATGGTGTTTCAGGTGCTTGTACAGACAACCATAACTCTTGTTCCGATTGGGCTGGTATCGGGGAGTGTTCAAAAAATCCTCTGTGGATGCTTGATAATTGTCCGGTGAGCTGCAAAGTGTGTTCTGGAGTACCGGGTGAGTCAGGCCTTTCTAAAGGTTGTTGTTGTGGTAACGCGTTTGCCATGGCCTAATAAATGAGTACCCGTTTTGTACAATGCAATTAAGGGCCCTAAGGTAAACGTGACCTCCTCAAAAAAGTGACAAGTTATGATAACAATAACCATAACAATAACGATGATGATGATGGTAATGGTAGTAATAATGACAAAGATGGCAAGAATAACGATAATAGAAATAGTAATGATAATAGTTGTAGATGGCCTTATGGATGCTTACGTCAGAAAGGAAAATTACACCCACAAGGTACTCGCCTTCAAGGAGTGGACTGGTGGATCATATTAAGAAAGTATTCCCAAAGCATTTTTATCGAAATGATTTCGACGTGAAAATGAAAAAAGGTGGTACATATTCGAACAAAATGCAGCGTCAACGTGACTTGATGGGGGAGGGGGAAGGAATTTTCAGCAAAGAACGTCATTAGGTTTAAGAGCGATTTTAGGCTAAAATGCTCATTTCGAGACGAAAGATGTATGTCAAAAAAGGGGTTGCCGACGACTTTTTTATGAATTGATTTCACATCTTAGCGTGTGTCAACATTTACAATGACCAGTACTGTAAAAGTAATGTGGGGAACTGTTGGACGTCGTCCATTGCTGCTGATCTTGTAAAGAACTGTAGGAAAACTTGTGTTTGTAAATGCTGCCCCTCAAGTCCTACAACAGTACCAACAACTGCATATGTCCATAACGCAACAAGGTATACAACGGTATCAGCTTTGACCTCGGCTACCACTTCAGTGGAAATAGCAACGACATCAGCTTTGACCTCGGCTACCACTACTGTGGAAATAACAACGACAGCAAAGGATATCAGTACCACGCCTCAAACAACATCAACAATAACAAACTCGACTCCAAACGAGGAGAGAACTACGGTGCAAACAGGTGAGGGAAGGGGGGGCACGTACCCTTGATTTTTATAGTCTCCTTCCTAGCTATTCTTTCGAATGTCACGTAACGCTTTGCCCAGAGACAGGGGGAGTGTTGTGTAACAACGTAAAGAACGATTGCAAAGCAGGCCAACCTTTCTACAGATAACGAATAAAATGTAACGAAGTTGTTTCCTTCGCCGCCGTTCTTTGGGATTTGGAAGTTGCGTTACACCACAAGGAACGGCTTCGAAGAGGACTAGCAGTGGCAACGAATGTAAATAAGGAAATAAGATCTGAGTACGAATTACGTTCTTGCGGTACCAAGAGTTTGAATCCGAAGGAATTCCAAGTCCAGTCCCATCTTTATTTTTTATGTAATGTAGGAAAGGGTTGTGAGGATTCATTTTACTCCAAAGTCAAACAGAATTCATGATGACAATATTTTGGATATTTTTTTTGTAGAATACACGAGTGCCATACCAGACACAAGACGAATAGTAAACGAGACGTCACAGGTAATCAAGATTGCATTCGATAGTATCAGATTTAAAAACAGAGTCGTTCCCATACGCATTAAGTATTTTAAGCGTTGCATGAAGAATTTCATTTTCATAGTGAAGTATTCCGATCATTTATTTTGTTGCTGTATTGATCTTTCAGGACAAAGGTGCCACTGAAACGAGTGGATCAAAAACTATGTTGGTGTTAGTCATTACGATGGGTTGCGTGGCTTTTGTTGCTGTACTTGGAATTTTATTGCTTTGGTTTCGGAGACGAAGGCGTTCGTAAGTAATAAATATTTTTTGTTGTTCCAAGAGGACGATATTTTCCTTTTTCATTCCGTCATCATTTGTTTCTTCTTTGCACAGATGCTTTCCATTAATTCAGTACAAAATTAATCAATCTATCCATCCGTCCGTCCATCTATTCATACGTACGTGTATCTCTCATGTTTTGGTCAGTTTATTTAACAAATGGAGAAGCCTTGACTGTGCTCTGTTCTGTTGTAAAGCACGGAGGAGAGGGCTAGAGCACGAGAGAAGTGTGAGTGCTCTAGTCGCTTCCTAAGTAACAAAAGCTAGAGAGAAGTCCAAGAAATGATCGGACGCTTTAGCTCTCTTGCTCTATGTTCTGTACTTTGATAATATAGAGCACGTTGTTTCAACCAATGACAGCGTGCGTTATATCTGAACTTTAATATAATATAAGATGTATTAGTTTTATCAACTGAGTTGATATTATAAATTGGCCTTGATCTACAAAGAGGTTATAAAGCTGAAGTTTCTAGTATTCGTCCCAGCAATTCGCTATGACGGCGGGCAAACGCTGGAAACGGCAGCTTTAGAAATTCTTTACGGTTGCCAATTTACATTATCAACTCAGAGGATAAAAACAAATTTTCTTGTAATACCCGCACTGACGCAGCACTACAGTTTCTGTAGTCTATCAATAAGTTATTCTGAGTCGTGAAATGTCAATCAATCAAGCAATTAATCAATCGGTCATTCAACCAAGTACTCAACTTTCCACTCGACCAACAAGCAACTCAAAAGTTCCCAGTGTGAACATGTAAAATAAGGGACTTGTCAGAAATTAGCAGGGGGGGAGGGGGGGTGGAAACAGAGGGGGGGTCACAACTTTTTGAGCCTCAGAAAAGGGAGGGGTCATGAAAAATGGGCAGTTAAAAGGGGGAGGGTCATGCAAATATATGCCCGTGATCATGTAGAGGTTCACCCACAGAAGAAAAAGGAAGTTCTTTATTTGGAAGAGGTGGATGATCATGATGAATGTGAGGTAGATGAAGGGGATGAGGCATTACCCACTTGTTCTAGTGATGAAGACTTTGTATTGGGAGAAATAGGAGAGTCGAGTGATCAGTCGGACTCTTAATGCTGTCATCGAAAATGTATGTATGTAGCATGACAAAGAACAGATTAGAAATATATTTTGAGTTTTCATAATACTGACGCACCCTAGTGTATTGCAAGAACTAGATTTTATCATTTATACAAGAGGGGGAGGGTCATGATATTTTAGGCCAAGCTCAATGGGAGGGTTAGCAAATTTCACTCCCATTGCAGGGATGGGTCACCTAATTTCCGAACTCAAATTTAAAATTCCCACCCCCCCTCCCCCCCTGCTAATTTCTGACAAGTCCCTAAAGACAAAATTTTTATTCCAGTTTCATGATCAAATTCAGTTCCATTGGCGAATGAAACCACCTGTCCATCGCTAACTTTAAAAGATCGAACCACCCATTAAACGAGCAACCATTTGTCTATTACGTCTGTCATTTTTAGCATTTTATCAGTTATGCCATTCACAAGTTATTGAATAAGAAGTGCTGTCATGTTATCATTTTTTCTAAAAGATCCAGTCGTGGAAGTCTGAATCAAGTTAAAGTGCCAGGTATGGCTTGCTTGGGTAACACATTTATTGTATTTTGTCATTGAAACAAAAGACTACTTTCCTTTAGTTAAGGGAGTGGCAAAGTAAAACAACAGGAGTCTCACATAGAAGTTTGTAAATGGTTTTTGAAGCTTGAAACATTGAAACAAAAGACTTTATTTACTGCATTGAAACAAAAAATATTGAAACATAAGACTACTTTCTCTAGTTAAAGGAGTGGTAAAGTAAAAAACATCAAGAGTCTCTTAGAGAAGTTTCTAAATGGTTTTTGAAGCTGTACACTGTTAAGCTATATATGTTTGAAAGACGAAAATTCATGTTATCGTCGACATGAATATATATAAGAGGACGATTCCCTCGCATTATCTCTGGCTTTTTTAGCACATTTGATTGCGCACATTGCCGATAACTGCACGAGGGACTCCCGAACCAACTTGAAAGGATTCTAGTTTTTATATTTTGGGTGACAGTTCTCGAATTAAGTAAGTCCGTCATTTTTGATGCGGAAGGCCACGAAGATGGATTGCTCTTCAAATTTATCTGTTATGATATAATTCACCCTTTTACCCCTGAGAGTGACCAGCATCTAATTTCTCCTTGCAATATCACATATGAATCTCCCATCAACGTCACGAGAATAAAGGAAATGATGACAAACTAAAGAAGCCCTTGATTGATAAACAAATTCTCCTTGTCAGCACCTTAGAAAGTTTATTGAGAACAGTAGGGAGACCTTACATACTGATGTTAAGGTGTAAGGGGTTAATAACGATTACTTTTGTCCTGTTTAAGTTGAAAACAACTCCACTCCCCCGGAAGAAGTTATTTGGTTAGAACGTCAACCAGAAAAGTCTTCAAGAAATCCGTTGTACCTTTCTACAAATGCAGCTGAAAATATCAGATTTTCAAATCATGATGTTGCTGAAGGTAAAAAGTGCTTCTTCCATGTACATTAAGAACCGGTCTATAAGAAATTGCGGACAGTTTTAATCAACCCTTAGCCTGAAATTTAGTTAACGAAGCATCGGCATTATGCAAAAGAAGGTTATTAGCCCGTTGAAAGGATAGGAATTTGCCCGAAATTAGAGCATAGTTCTTCGATACTGTCCGCTCGTTCAAACCTTTACTTCTGTCGGCTGAGATTTCAATCTTTCCCAGACTTCGCTCGAATGAGGTACGAGACTACAACTGAAGACTAAGCTACAATAATGTCTTCATATTAGTTAAGTCTGTTTCCGATCAAATTTAGAAGTTTTCTGGTAATTCACCTCTGTTTTTTTCCCCTTTCATATAGATACTCCTGAAATGCTTTACTCGACGACCATTCCCAGCTCGCCAACTTCGCCATTGTATCATGTGTTAGAGGACCCTAACACGACAGATACAAATGGGAAATCCGCTTTGTCGGCTCCTTCCGAACGGCCTTCCGATCCTTTACGATCTGATTCCGATTATGACGAACCTGTTTTTCGAGGCGTGCGCCCGGCGATTTTCCCGCCGCCTGGAGCACGAGAAAATGAGGCAAATTACGAAACCATGACGGAAGATCGTAATGCTGAGAGACTTGCTGACAACGCTGGTAAAAATGCTTTGGAAAATGACGACGAATACTGCTATAGTTACACTACTGCTTATCAAAACAAAAAAGACGAAGCGACCGAAAGACCTAAAACAGAAGGGCCTTCTTACTGTTCTATAGAGAGCCCCAATAATGAGTACCAGGCTCCCGTAGTCATTCCAGGAGGTGGCTGCACGCCCGTGGCGGGAATCGCTGAAGTTAACGGTTATCAACCCTTACAGAAGTCAACACGATCATTTTATCAACCTCTCATTAAAGATAATTAATCACTTCAAAGAGCATTCACTGAGAAATGAACAAAGTATGTATTTTCGTGATAAATTTCTGTTTCGTGTTTTCAGTGCTGTGATATTGAGTACCCTGACCTGAGTTTTGTGGCCTTTGTGCCACGTGTTCTTTCCATCCTTCGTGTCACGTGCCTTTGTATCCTTCATTTCACCTCCCTATTGGATGCTTTTGTATCACGTGCCCTTTGTAACATGTGCCTTTTGCTTTTTCGATCCTTAAGAAAAGCTTATTTTTGTTGCCTCCGCTGGTTTACTTCTTTAGTCGTTTACTTAGATATCTGTGTCAGCTTATTTTGACTGAAATTCTCATTCAAGGCTCGCTATCAGAAAGCTGTGGGCCAGAAGGGAAAGGGAGACGTGAAGTATAGTTTGTCTGAGAAAATTTTGCATAGAAGTTTTCTGTTAAACAGATTTTTGGCTTTTTATCCGTTCTTTGTTTTTTGCCAAATTAGTTTTATCGAGATTGATGAAGGAAAGAGCTCGAAAATTTAGATATTTATCACAAGCCCTGTAACTAAGCTGAGAACCCGAAGAACTTTTTATTATTCCAACTGTCGTTTCTTCTCTATACTCTCTCATAGGTTGCTACCACTGTTTAGTATTGTATTAAACTAGCTTTGAATTGATTTATTGTATCGTTACTCACATCTACTCTGTACACAATTAATGCAAAATTCAAAATGGCGAAGAACGTTTGTGATGTTCTGGTGAACATTTCTATTGCTTTATTTGTAATTCTTACACAAATTTAATTTAGTCATACACTGTTAATTCAGTTAAATGTAAGCAACCAAAAGATGCAACCTGTTATGAAAATCAGAAGAAAAAATTTCGGCAAAATGTATTTCAGGTATCCTTGCGGTACTTAAACAAGTCAAACAAACAATATACCGTTAATTACTGATTATAAGATTTAGAAGAAAATAGAAACTTTTTTGCTGATTCATGGAACACTTATCAAGTATTTTTTTCCATCATTCAGCCCTGCAATATTAATCCTTCATCCTCCCCCCCCCCGCGCTCCCTGACCGTTCAACCCCGATTTCGACATGCTTTTAAGATTCGATTTGAAATTGATCAGTAATTGGTTGGAAATAGGAGGGTTTTTTATGTATCAAGTTTTCCTCCACTACTAAAACCCCAACAAGTGTAATTTTCATTGAATGAGGGCCAAGGCAGAAAACGGACATCCCGCAAAGAAAAGAAAAGCTATTAACTGTATCGTGTTGATATTTCATGCCAGTATTAAGAACTTTCTATTTAAATAGCATTGTTAAATTATCATTGAAAAGGTTTTGAGAGAAAAAAATGCAATTTTGCCGCACGAAAAACTGTGTTCCCTTTGTTCCTAGCTGGGTACCGTTTGCAGAAGATTGAAAGTTTGATTATCTGTTTATGGAGAACGATGCTAGCAGCCTATTTAGTAATTTTTTTTGGTACTGTGGCAATAGCAACGAGCAGAAGATGTATGACAACAGGAATTGTGGTGATTGATAGAACTTACGGAAATTATATGAGCAATGAGACATTTTTCAAGATGACGGACAAAATTCGGTTGAATACTGGTGGAAAAGATGACGATTCGTTTGAGTGCGATGAATTTGATGCTGTTGATCAAGACAGAACTAGTCGGTGTTTACAGATGTGTAAATGCACAGAAGAAGCTTCAACTTTTAGCCACTTTGATGGTGAATGGACTTGTGTTGAAAATGAAGAGTTTCGCGAGGGAGAGGGTAAGTGGAAAAACCGCTGTGTAATTTTTTTTTATTCAAGAAATTCAAGAGGGAGTGGAATTTTATACCGTCTAAGTTTCGCTTTTCATCTCTGAAGCTTCCATGAGAGTTTAAGGAGCCTCAAAAATACAATTTATTTTCTTAAATATCTGGAATATAGAACCCTGGCTACATAATGATGATATGATATCAAATCCCTATAAATTATGATAAAATTCTGAGCAGGAGGTTTAATAATGCAAATAAGCACTACCGTATTTATAGGAATTACGTCACAAAAGCTATTCTCGACCCCAATAATGCAGGTTTAAGATATTGAATAACTATGATGATATTGTCTCTTCAGAAAAGAAAAGAAAATGAGATAAACTTGGCTTAAAGAACACGAAAGAACCTTTAAACATTTCTTAAGATATGTTTAAAAGGGAACTAGCTATTTCGGAATGTTTAGAAATTTAACTTTCTAAAGTGTGGAAATTAGAGACATTTGAATCACCGATAAGTGAAAAGTCCTTGATCTTCGAATTATCTACGTTCATGGTCTACCAGTTTTTGTAGCTTTGATCAAGAAAATCAGTTTCCCTCTTTGGCACTGTAATTAAAACCTTTTGATTGATTAGTCGTCGATCAACTGGAATCTGAAGAGCCAATAACTGTTGGAACGATTTTCATTACGTTTTGCGTCATTAGTTCCTTGCTCTGTTTGAGACCATATATCTCCCTTCAAACCTACCGAAGAATTCAAACTTTCTAACGATTTGTTGTACTCTATTGACACATTTGAAGTTTGTATTGATAAAGTCTTCATTGTAGTTTGAAAATTTCCTCAAAGAAAATCTCGTATCGAAATCTGCCGAGTCTTAATCTACGACCTAAAAATCTTTCACTGACTTGACATACTTTTTCACCGAAAATGCTTTCCATCGTTTACTCTAAAACGATTTACTCATTGTTATCAAGGGCACATGCTCATGTCCATTGTCGAAATCGTTGTTAAAATTTAAAAATCTTATTTCCTATTTGGACCGAACTGTATGAAGATTGCACCGCTTGTTTTCGATAAAAGAGTTGAAAGGTAGTGTAGGGCCGTGAAATGATGGTAATTTTCATGACTGACTGAGAAATTCACTGAGTTGAATTGTGTAAGACGGTATATAAAAGGCGGGAGAGACTTATGCTGATGGAAATAAGATGGACACCGTTCAAAGGTCGTTCTTTTCCTCAACCTCGATCTTCCACCTGACCACCCCTCTCATACAAATTATCGTTTAGAGTGATAGAACTCCCCCTGCCCCACTCTCCACCGTTAATAATTTAAGAAAACGCGTATAAGTGGCTCTACTTTGTGGAACCAATCCATCTTTCAACAGACTGCGGATTTCTCTTTGCAATGGAGCGCGAAAACGATCCATTAAGAATTCTGCAGGACGGCGAGGAAAAGGCGGTTTTTTTACCGAGTGGAAACTGTTCTATTGATGCGTCAACTTCAGAGTACCTGGACTGTGGAATATGGCGTCCAATCGACAACATGAGCGTTTTGAACAAATTTAGTTTACACGGAAGGTTTACAGACAGTTACAGTTTTAAGGCAAGTACCTCGATATCATTGTCGATTTTACTCATCTGACACTTGGACGGAAGGAAGAGTATATAAACTTGAATATGAAAGCGATCTTCGCAGTAATGAACACTACTTAAGCAGTAGTGAAAAGAAGGCCTGAAAAAAATTCAGGCCTGAATTTTTTTTCAGGCCTTCTTTTCACTACTGCTTAAGTAGTGTTCATTATTGCGAAGATCGCTTTCATATTCACGTCTTTAACCGCAGTTCAAATATATGACTTTCATATATTCACAGCCAATATATAAACTGTTTATGTTCTCCTGACTAAGCTATTCGGGCTGTTTATGCTGAGAAAAAGCTGCGATGATTTTGTTATAGCGAAACGTCTGCACCGTAAATGTTACATCAATCACAAAACAAGAAATATTATAAGAAATATTATTCTAGTGGGAATTTTTTCAAACATCTATCTTACCATATTTACCTAAAGGAACACGGTCTTCGTGCAGAGGCCGATTGAGGCTGATGCATCATGATCAAAAGATTGCGGTTTTGTTGAATGTATTTTTTTTTCTTAGCTTTTGGCCACACCGCAAAAAAGAAAAAGCCGAAAAGCAAACTCTAGGTGAATATTTTAGTAAAGAAAAAGAATCTACACAAACATTTCACGTTTTTATTTCTCAGGTGGGTGGTTCAAATTTCTCTACTTTCCTCAACGGCCGCGTTATAAAACTTGGTTTGACGTGTCTTCCGCCCGTTGGGAAACCTTGTTTGCTGTTCAAGCTCAGAGGATCCGAAAGGTGTAAGTTGAGTCTACTTTTCATTAAAAAAGAACGACTTTAGAGTGAATGTCGAAAAACTAAACTCGAAATAATTACGGCAGCAAATCAAGAAGGAAAAGTGAAGACGATGTGAATTCAAACTAAACTCTCGTCAACGACTTCAAGCTCGGATCTAATGAAGTCAGGATAAGTTTAAGCTTTGAATCTGATTGGTTCTGACTAGACCAATGAAAAGGCGTGCTACGGCAAAATAATATATCCCGGATTGCTTTGTGTCCTTTACACTCTTTATTGAAAGTAGCCTATATTTATATTTTACAGTATAAACAGAATGAACTATAGTGTCCTCTTTACAATCGTTTTATGGACTTGGCTTTTTTTTTCATTCCCATCCATAGGTTCACTTTATGGGACACATTTCACACCAGCACAAGCAGCGCATACTTCTACATTCAAACCATCTGAAACTCATGACGACTTCTTACCAGTGGAATCCTATTTAATTACACCAACTCGAAGTGTTAGCTCCTCGTCTACAGTATCAACTTCTGCTGAGGAAAGGCTTTCAATTGAAGCAAGACAAACCATGCCCCTCTACACCGCACCCACTCTCGAAGGAGTTGCTCCACTATCTGTCAAGGGAATGTCGTTGATTACTTCATTTGGCAAAACTTTACTCACGCCAAAACCAACTGCTCATATAATTGACTTCTCCTCTTCTCTATTTGTCGACGAGAGGTTTGATTCACGACGAATGACTTCAAATTCTAAAACGGAGACGATGACTAAGATTGTTGCGTCTAAATCGATTTTTGACGCCAAAGGTAGTATCGGAATGAACAGCACACCAATTCTGCCTAACGTACGAAGGGTAAGGAAGCGCTTTGGGAATTGATGTGGTTGATGGTTAATTTTTTTGTTATCAATTTCCTTATCGTTTCGTGGCTGAATTTCAACGTATGACCTTCCAGATGAAGGCTTACTGTTAGAGATATTTCGAGAAAAAAAAAGTCATTTATTTCTTAAAAATTCTCCCTATGAATGGTAGACTTTCAGTCAAAGAAATGACGAAGAAAAAGCTACCTTGTCCTCATAAAAGTCTAAAGATATAATTTCGAGTCCTCTTAAAAGTCTAAGGATGTAATTTCGAAAACTACTATGTGGTTGAAAAAAAAGTTTGTGTTACTCCTAAGTAACACCCTATACTAGGGCCAACAATTTTTTTTTTCTGACCAACATTTTAATGGATAATGTATAAGTATTGAAATGGGAACTTACTTGCAAACCACTTTTGCGAGATGGAAGGAAAAGTTTCTCTCACTGACTAAATATCCCTCTTTCCATTTTTATTTATTTATTCATTTATTTATCAGTTTTATCCCCACATGAGGTAGAAAAAAAGTTAAGAACGAGGGATATACTTCTCGGGTTAAAAATACATATATTTTTTTCCTCTGATAGATCGTCAGACTTAGCTTAACTCTGCTGTTACATTATCATGAAGTTTAATATTAAAGATTCTCCTCGAAG